ACTATGATTGGGTAGCCCTCCATTTTGAATCGCCCTGTACCTCAAACTGGTTTCAAGACATCGCCTAAACTCATTTTGGCAAGTCTGCGAAGTTGGTGGAGATGCGGATTGGATGAGTGAGAGCTCATCGCACACATTCGACCGTTGCCCAATTGGTCAGCGACATCCTTAGCTTTCCCAATAAAATTGTCAACCCCAACAAGCGCTCCCTTGTTCTACCAGGCCCACAGGGCCGCACTGGGCATTTAAGATTGGGTGGACTGGATTTTGGGAATTGCCTTCAGGCGTCCTGTAGGTTCCCCCCGATTTTGACGACACACTTGCTTGTTTGTTTTTGCGGTCCCCCTTGCGAGTGCAGCTAGCAAGGAAGCCTTGGTAAGTCCTGGCCCGTTTTGGTCCTTCCCTTTCTGGGAAGGATCTCTAGTGATTTGAGGGCTCAAGCTTTGGTGTGGCCCTCCAGGAGTGTCCTGTGATTGGGGCTGTTTGCGGGAACTCCACCCAAAAAAACGACAGCCATTTTTCATGGCTTCCCTCATTTGGACATCCAAGCCCCGCATGGTTCAAAGATTAGAATGAAGTCAAAAGCCTTTGAGCCTGTCACATAGCCCCTCAGGCGGGTAGCTGCCCCCCTTCTTTGGAGCAAAGACAACACAGGTGGTGGATGTTTCCTGAAATCAAGGACCCCTTCGGAAGGCAAAAGGACACTATTTATTTGTACAAGTCCCCCTGCATCCCAGGGCCTACATAGTACCGTGCTGGAGTGGCCGGGTCAAGATTCCGAGTCGGTGCCTGAGAAACATCAGCACAAGGGATGTGTCACAGGCACCCAGTTGTTCGGCACGCTTTGGTGGGTTTACCTCAAGCTAAGGGCAACTGTGGGCAGGACCCTGGGTTGGCAATCTGTAGAGACCTCCCGGATTGGGTCTGCGGCCAGAAGGCCGGTGCTGAAGTTAGCGTTCATTGGAGCCAGGAAGTTTTTGTTGGTGGCTACCCTATGCCCTATGCCCACCTCTTTAAACGTGGTTGATTGGGGCATGCGGGATTGCGACCCTTATGGTTCCGTTGTCCAGCTTGGTTGCGAAGCTGGATGTATATGGCGGGCGTGTAGGGGTAGGTTAGCCTGCCACAGGCCAACATGCTTCCTTTCCATCCAGACGTCTTAGCGCTTTTCAAGAGAAGGGCACAAAGATGGGGAGGTGGAGCAAGGGCACGAGACGAGGGACTGGTCGGGCTTTCAAGCCATGCTTCGGCTGATTTTCCTTAGCGTTCCTCTTGTTCGTCCCATGTGGTTTGATACATCACTTAGGCCCTTTCAAAGTGAGCCTTCTTTGTTTGGGCCCACAAGAAAGGGACCCTGTCCGTACCTTTTGCCCTTGCTTTTGCAAATAGGGCTAAGCCCCCTTTTTGTATGTATGCTTTCGTCAGTTGGGTGTTGCTGGAGCGGAAGACTCCTCATAGAGAGGCAATGAAGTTGGACCTTCCTTTTTGAGCGGTTTCTGCATTTGTCCAAGCATACCCTTTTCTGGTTGGTATGAAAGGGAAAACCATCATTTTCGCGGTTCCCAGTGTTGAAAGTTTTGGAAACACACCCATCATTTTGCTAAGAAGAGGTGATGTAACGGGCGACTGGTCGGCGCAGCAGGTCAGACAGCCGGCAAGTGCCTCCTGGCAGCAAAGGGAGCTCGGGCAAATCATAGTGCGAGCAGCGTTCTTCAAATTGGCGGACTAAGCTGGAACGACCACAAAGCTATTGCATGGTGTTGGCCATGTTTTTGTTCACATTGCCAGACTCAACTGTCCTGTTTTGCATCTTTTGGGTTTCCTTCCGTTTCCATTTTCATCAGCATGATGTTAGTGGAATTCAGGAATTCAGTTGTGGCAGCTTAATTAAGTCCGCGATTCGTCTTCGGGCTCGTTGCTCTCAGGCAAAGGGGCGGCTACTGTCTTTAGTGCCCTTCCCACCTGCGTTATGAAGTCGCAGTGTTTGGGGCATGTCCCATCTTCTCACATCCTGCGCTCGTAGTTCGCTTCTGCAGCCGGCTTCGTTACGGATCATCCAGGTGCAGGGGCTTCCTGAACTCAGGCTCTTTGGAGCGTTTGCCGGAAGAAGTAAACCCTTTGCTTCAAGAAGGTGAGTTGGAGGTGCCCAGGGCCGTGGTAATTCCAACCCTTGCTTTGGATTTCGACACGTGCCGTCGAAGTTGGCGCATGCTAATAGAACTTAAAGGCTCTATTCCTGGCTTGGTAGGGTAGTAAGGACAGTGATGAAAGCCTTTTTGGCAACTGGTGTGGAACCAACGTCAATGGATTGTGGGATGTGGCACGGCCATTCACACCATAGAGGCAAACCAGTCGGTCTTCGGGTGCGTTGAACAACGTTTGAGAAGCCAGGGCCAGAATATAGGTTTTCGGGCTCCACATGGAGTTTTAGTTTTTCAAGGACCAGCATTCTAGACCTTTCCAGCCTGGTTTTCGGTGTGGAACCAAAGTGGGCAGTGATTGGGATGGCTCCCAAGTCGCACCTCGGATTCAGTTTTGGGCTTTGGGCACTTAGCCGAGGAGCGCAAAGCCAAAGGCCAAGAAAAAGCCCAAGGCCAAGGCAAAGAAGGCACCTCGGCGCATCAGACCGGCTCTGGCACTCCCCTGCAACATGGAAAGAAGCCAAAGACGGGGGTGGTTAGCTGCTGAAATGGATGGGTTTTTGAGGGTTCGGATTGAATTTGCGGGGAGCCTGGGTCTTTACGTGGCTTTGAAGCTTTCAGGGTCCAAAGGGTCAAGGAGGTAAGGTTACACCTCTGGTTCCAAATTTGTTTGGGCATTGGTGCGGCCATGACGCTAGGTAATATTTATTGCGGACAAATAGACAATTTGTTTAGGTTAAGCTTAAGATTAGCCACGTCGATGGCCGTTTTGGCAAGCGATGGCTCCTGCCAGGCTCCGAAGTATGACGTTCGGGGCCATCGAGTGAGGCGTGGAACTCGGGTTGGGGGTGGGGGGGGTTGGCTTTGCGCATGATTGGTGACTTGGAATGGGGCAACCAACTCCGTACGTAATATTTGGAATTGATTCATCGGGGGCGTCCCGAGAATTTGTACAGTGCGGGGGGGGGGGAAGAGGGGAAGGCAGAGAAAGGAGAGGAGGGAGAGGAGAGGTTGGAGAAGAGATGCAACATGTTTGGATTCCTTGCCTGTAGTACAAACAAATCAACGTAATGCCTTTTGGGTATGTATGTGGGTGAGTAAAGGGGATCACTAAACCACAATTAGGGAATGGCGCAATCATTTTTCACCCAACTGTACCAGAAGGGAGCTTTGGGGGGGTTGAGCCAATGCACACCCACCAGCAACATATAATAATGGCACCAACCCGGGCATGGGCGCTACTTGTGCCAGAGTGGAAGAACCTGGTGACTTGTGTTGGCTGACAACCATTTGTTTCCAGGATACCTTCAAGGGCACCCATGCCAGCCTGGCCCACTTTTATGTGGATTACAAGGGTAGCACACTTGCTGGCTGCTGGGTGTGATTTGGAGGCCCCTGAGAGCTTGAAGACAGGGATGCAGCTTTTGGGTAAGTCTAGGCTTGGGGACATGTTTTTCACCTCCGCCAGACTTTTGGGTTTGCGACCCCGGAACGGACCTCAACAAATTCCTCTTCCAGGAAACCACCCCACCCTCCCTTAAGGACAGGGAGGCCAGGGACCTTGTTATACTACCTCGGTGTGGTGCGTCACCAATTGCCCAACCATGGTTCGGGCACGTTTGGTACTCGGCCGAGATGTAGATGGCACAGGTCGGGTCAAGGGGAGCCATGACTCACTAGGACATGACAAACGCGAGACCAGAATGGTGGTTGACCCCTTCTGAGGAACCTGAAAGAGAAGGAGAAACGGCTGGCAAAGAGCGACTCCAAGGCAAGGTGGTTTGAGAGAGGCCGAGAACGCGGCTCAAGGAACCTTGTGAACCGGCAGGTGCCCTTTAATTTATGGGGGCAACATCGTGAAACGATCAATGGTCCATTTTGTCATTGATGATTGTGGGAAGTGAGGCGGGGTGAGGCTTGTTTGTTGTGATTCCGAGGCAACTTTCCTTGAAAAGGATTGAAACCGGCAGACTGTCACAGGGGCGGACCGCTTCAGCATCACTTCGTGATGATTTGCCACGACCATCAGCGTTTGTCTCCAAGTGGGGCAACCACCAAAATTGTGTGATGTTCCTTTGGTGGGCCTGATTACCTGCACAACCACAAAACAGGCTACACAACCCCAAGAGGGGTACTTTAAACAACTCCGACAGGGGCAAACAACCCCAAATCGCATACACTCAAAGAAGCACACCCACTATCACAACTAACTAGCGGCCGCCATCTGGGCCAGGAGTTGGACACCAAGGAGCGGGAGCAGGAGCGGGCTTGGAGTGGGTGGTTTCTTGAGCCGTTCAATCGCCCGGATGACTTGAAATCAACGTCCAGCTGCATGACGTGCAACACCGCACACCAAAATACAAGTTCTACAGTTTTACGCCCCCAAGTGCACAAAGATACGGCAGACCACACACCAACCAGCGACATGTCCGAAACCCTGAAATCCGAGCACCGAAAAGCACCTCGGCTGGCTTCCCATGAAGGCCCCGGCGGCTCCTAGCCTCGGGGCGCCGAGCCCGCCGAGAAGGCCAGCGCCTGGTATTGGGTGGCTTCCTGTTTTGAAGGCATGTGGGGATGGTTTCAAGGAAGGAAACCCTGAAGGAAACCACAGTTTGTTGGGGGTGCCGAAGAGCCTGCAGATTTCATGCTCATAAGGCTCATCCGCCACTTCTTGATTGCCGCCTCGAGGTTTGGCAAAGCGTGTCATTGTCAATGAGCCGTTGAATTCTTTGTGGGCTTTTCCCATGTTGTGGGGCTCCATGAACCAAACAGAGTCCTTTTCTAAATTGTTTGATACGTGTGGACCCCTTGACCCCGCCCTTTTTCCGGCTTTCCGCCAGATGTGCCCCAGCTTCGGCGATGCTGGCCATGGCGAGGCCAGTACGGGGGTCATGTTGCGTTCTTCCAAACAGGGAAATCCGGGGTCTCATCCAGAACAAATATGTTTTTGTATAATATATATATATATACAAAGTTAAACAATTGAATAAGGTACGCTAAGTATGAACCGAACTCGGAACCTTTATTGTTGGAGATTTCCAGTGATGAGGGCCAGTAAATGTTTGAAGGGAAGCATCGGGGCTGACGGTTTTCGATGACTTAATATTTGGTTTGGAGAGATTCTCCACAAGTGCTTCTTGAAGATATAGTTGCCCAGGCTCCAGTGGTGCCCTGCGTTTCTTTTTGTTGAACGAGATTTCCCTTCAGCACAAGTACCAAAGAATGGGTGCCCTTTTTTTCCATGGCCACTTAAAGGGGCTGGGATATTCGGGCCCTTGCGAAATCGGGCTTGCCACCTGCCATTCTGTAAGATCCAGCTTCGCATTGTTATCACGTTCTGTATAATAAGCCCCTAAACTTTTACGGTTGTTGGTCAAGCAGAAGGATTCTTCAATACAAACTGGGGAATACAGATTTTATGTTTCTTTCGCAAAGGAAATTCTATTCGAAGATGGAACCAGGGAGTCTTCACCCCCCTCCCCCCACCCCAGCTGCTTCCACTTCTGATGACTGGATACATGTAACGAAATCGCCTGCCAGGACTTATCAGGTGGGTTCCATGTTAGTGGACGGGCGTGCGAACACTTCAATGGACCAAGGATCCCCCCAACCCGCAACCCTCAACCCCGCCCCTGCCAATGAGCCAGTGAGAGCCAACCGAGGCCGGTGAACCAGTGGCCGCGTACTGTGAAGTCCATGGAGAAGCTAACGCCCCTGAAGGACGCGGCCAGAGGTGAGAGTGGTTTGTCTTAATTGTCCACACCCAGGTAGAATCCCTTGACCCACTTCCTTCAGGATGTCCCCGTTTTGCAAAAGTTTGCTTTGGCGGCACCTTTTTTTGTTTTCTTGGGGGGGGGGGTCCGGGGAGGGCCAAACACGGTCAACTCGGTTTCCCTCCTTCGCAAGCCCAATTGTTCAGAGGCAGGATCCAAGTTTGATTCCACTCTGTTTGGCTTCTTGCCGAAATATGGTCAGCCCCAAAACGGATCCCCTTCTTGTCCTGGGCACTGGGCATGGGTGTCGTGACGAGCCAGGTCTCAGACGGCAGAAGGTGACCCCTGTTTTCATGTGTTACTTGCGGGTTTAACCTCAGGAAACCCTTAGTTCGTGGTTTGGATTGCTGGTTTGGGGATTTGAACTTCTGGCTGTTCTAGAGGGTTTATGGGAAACCCCTCCTAAACCACCAAACCACCAATCCAAGCGAGGGAAGCTGCCCCTGTTGTCATTGGTGGTTTGGATTGGTGGTTTCGGAGTTTTGGTGGTTTCGGGGACTGGTTCTCGTAGAGGGCACATTGGAAACTGTCCCCGAAACGCCTCGTCAACTAAGGCCTAGTTGTTCAAGGGACGGGAGTTTGACTTGTTCATGTTTCACACAGTCACACGCACTGGGGCTTGCTTCTTTGTAAACTAGCACTTTGGGGTTGTCTTTGTACTTTCCAAGTTTGCCGTCAAGGGACATGGTTGACTGATAAATTTGCTTTTTCTTACGAGTTATGCTGGTCAAAGAGTTGCTTTTGTTGTGTTGCGTTGTTCGTTTAAGTGGGCTTTGGGAAGATGCTTAGCTTGTTCGGCTGAGGTACTTTGATCCACTCCCCTTTCTAATCAGGCCTGCTCTTCGCAGGCTAGTTTATAAATAATATGCATGGGCCAACAAGTGTAGCATTCCCTGAGTTTTGTTTCTGGAGGTTATCGTTTCAGTGCCGACGCTGTCCCGGAAAGCTGCGGAGAGGTGCTCATGTTTGCAGGAGCTATCACCGCCAGAGGCACCTGTAGAAGCACCGCAGGCCGCCGGAACAGGGTATGGGCCAGTATGGGTTCATTCAGGTGTTGCGTGCGGCGCCAACTCATCTTTGCCGTTCTCAATGAAGTCGAACGGAAATGTCAACACTTCCTGATGGGATCGCTTTGAAACAGTCTTCAAAAGGCAAAACTTGACACGGTCCCAGAATGGCCCATGTTTTGAGTCTTTTTCCTTGCTCGACTCGAGAAAGGGGCTGGTTTGTGACCACTTTTGTCCCTTATCGAGTCCTTGTTGCGAACAGGCGTGTGGGGTGCCTCTGTTTGGGCACCTTTGAGAAGCCTGCGGGATAGCACTTGAGAGAGCCCGGACTCCGGATGTCTTCGTTTCGTGAGCCGCACTTTTGTACAGAGCCACGGGACCCCGCGTTTGCCAACGCTTGAACCTCATCCCAGCCGCGCTTGGATTGGCCGGCCAACTGGTTCGAACCGTTGGAACCCCCCAGGTAAACCCTCAGTTAGCCTCCTGTGAGGCCTTTTCACTAGGGTTGGTTTTCGTTTGGGTGGGGTGATGCTCGAAAGGGACCATGCTCAGGAGACCCTACAGGTTGCGGCTTGCACCGAACCACAAACATTTTCCTAGCATCCGATCAACCCCATTGTTGGATTCCATTCAACAGATCACCAAAAATAGGATCCGAGCCCCAAGGATCTTTGAAGGATACATCCATCCAAGGACCACCTGCTTTACAAGGGTGAACCAGCTGATGCTGGCCCAGCTGGTACCCAACCCCAGCCCCACACATCCCTGCGCAGGAGGAGGCGCCGGAGGAGAAGGTCCTGGCCTTCGACGAGATGATCAAGCCCAGGGTTTTGACGCCTGACCTCGGACCCCCCCTTCCCCCGCCGCCGGTGGGTGAAAATGAACAAGAAGATCGACCCCCACTACAGGCGGTTCTTGCAAAATCGCGGTGGCTGTTAGAGTTTTTGCTTGGGCGAACGGATCCGACAGGGACCATTGGAACTCCCAAAGCCTGGGATTTCCGTGTTCCATGAAAACACCTGGGGCCTCATGAAGCGCGGATCCTTGAAGAAGCCCACTGCGTGGTTCAACATGAATGCACAAGATCCTTCATGCCAGATGGCAGTGGTTTGTTTGGCGTCCCATTTCGGATTAGCGCCAACCTTGAACAACTCAGAAAGGGAGCTTCGCTTGCCGGCCTGCAAGAGTTGGCTCGGCCACATTGCAGCCATGTTCCCTCGGTTCAGGTTATTTCAGGTTGTGTTGGGACGTGGGTTGCTGGGCAACCTCTGGGATGTGACGATGGTCCAGGGAACTTTCAGCGGTTTGAGTCCATCCTCCAGGGTTGGGCACTTGCTTTAAAGACCAGACCCTGGGTTCCCCTTCAAACGGGAACCAAGCGGATCTTGCTTGAATAGCTGTCCCTTTAAAAGGACACAACAAGGAGGTGGCTTAAACGGGTCACTTCGACATGACCTGAAATGGGACCTTCAAGCATTTGGCTCTTATTCTATGGCAAGCTCACCGGTTCGGGGGGTAACACGATGTAACACGAGCTGATCATGATGTATATCAGCTACTTCAAGCTCCCGCCGCATTCATTTGCATTTGCTTTCTCTAGCTTTTTTGGGAATCTGTTCATTTTTCTGCAAGAATCAAAGCTTTGTCCGCAAAACCAGGGCTTTGGGAGGATCGGTTCTTCGGCCCAACCCGTCCAGCCGAGGAGCCGCTCCAGCAGTGTCGGCAGCCTCCCCAGCGTGCAGATGAGCGTCCAAACGGGCGCCAGCCGAGGCTCTTACGGGCCGCTCAGCACCTTGGTGCGCACAGCTTAGGAGTTTTAACTTTTAACTTTTGTCCAAACAAGTCGGTGGTTCTCACCATTACTCGAGGGGATGGCTTCCATTGAAATCACAGTTCGGGACAGTTCGTTCAGAGGGGTGGTGGTGGTGAGTTTCACTTTGATGGACCTGGCCCAGTGGACATGACAATGTATGTTGTTCAGTCGCACGCTCTAAGTCTTTTTTTGGTCTTCTTACTTACTATATAGAGCACAGAAATGATGCTTTCTGCAATCCCACAGGGAGCCATTTGCATGAAAGGGACTCATAGTACCACCCAAAAGTGGCCGAACGAGCTGCTATCCACATGCATGAGCAGCTGAGAAACTTCAAAGCGTAGCGGAGCAGGGTTGATGACTGCAGTCAGCCAGTAAAGCGTTCTTGTGGTCATCGGCTTCTTGCCGAGGAATCACTTCTTGGTTGGCGAACAAGTCCGGAGAGGTCCTTTGAACCAAAGACTTTGTCGTTGTCAAAGATCCACAGTTCTCTGAGATCAGGTGCCTTCATGTGCTCAACTGTTTTTACATTCACATGGTAGAAATGGATTCTAAGGCTTCAAGAGCCTTCATATGCCTTCATCCTGGGTGAGTCCGTTTAGGCCGCCTCCCCAGGCAGGCAACCAAACGTTACGAGGTTTTGTTGCCGTGCTTCAATTTGCCAGAGTTTGTCATGCACACACCGTGTCCGGATGCACTCACAATGGACCTATTTCCCCCCATGCAAGTGTATTTTGCTTGGTAGGCTTAGAGGGGTGCCTCAAAATTGGTGGACCACCCCAAACATGTGTTTGATTTCTGTAAGCCGTAAGCAAATTGAATAAAGGGCATCCTCAAAAAGACGAATCCACATGGGTCTTTCTCAGCCTTGCTGAGTAGCTTGAGAGAGAGACTACACGCACAACAGGATCGTAGGATCCAACCCCCCCCCTCCCCACCTGCACCGGAAACCCATACTTACGGCCCGATTTCGGGGACTTCGAAAATGGCAAGTGTTCCTTCGCGGTTTCCTTTCAAGCCACCAGGGTTTCACGGAACGAGCGGCTCTCAGGGCGGGACATGCCGGTGCCTCCAGCCCTGGGGCCCGAGAGCTTCCAGCGCCGCGCGCGGCGCACGGAGGCCACGGTGGCGCTGCGGCAGCTCAAGGCGCGGGCGAGGCGTAGGCACTGAGCGGGTTGGTGCCCAGCCATCCGGCTCGTTAGGCTCTTAGCTGATCTTAGCTGACTGTCTAGTGGTTGGATTTCCCAATGTCAGCCACTAAAAGTGGTTCACTTTTCGCGGGGGATCTGAGGACAGCGAGGTTGGGTGCGCGTTGGGTTTGTCTTGGGTGCCTTGGAAGAAGAGGGTGGGGGTTGCAGTTTCAAGGCAGCCAGCGGGTTGCAATTCCAGCTCTTCTTTGGTGGCTTGTTTCAAAGGGCACTTTCTTGTGGAGTTCTTCCTATCTTTTTTGGACCCCTTTAACTTAATCGCCTAGAAAGAAAGCGATTTTCCATGGCCACCTGGGTGACCCGTAAGGCGGTGGCGTTCCACTTACGAGAGGATGCAAGGATGCTGAGACTTTTGGGGGGGTAGCCCCAGTTAATCCACCAGCTTGATTGACTGAGGTCCCAACCTTAACATAGTAGGACACTGCATTTTGGCACCCAGCCACGCTTCAGCCCGCAATTTTGCCCTCCCAAAAACAAACATGGAACCTGAAAGAGGCCTCCTGGAAGACTATGTTCCTCTAGCAGGACGCCTTTCAGGTTCAATTTTTGTTATTGGAGAGTAAGTTGTATTTTCCATAAAAGCAAACCAAAGGGGATTCGGCATTGTTCAATTCTTCCAGGCCCAGCCTATGGATATCATATATCTGTTTGATACATTGCAATTTAAGGTTAATCAATAGGTGACAAGTGTCCCTATATTTCCCGCTTTGGGAGGCCCAAGGCTTCAGCAACACAAGTTGTTTGCCACGATTGAGTTGCCCCTTGGCGGGGCATATGAATTATTATGAATTATATGACAATGTGTGCAATTCAGCATGTTCTGCCTGCTCCAGATTGAAAGGCTTGGAACTTGCGATTTTGCCCCGCACGAAATGAAACCAACTGAGCTCAGCTGGGGGTAAACAAGCCCGTCCATCGTGAAGGTTCGTTGCTTAGGGGTTCCTGAATTTAGATGGGTGAATAACAGTGCTTGATAGTACTTGCTGTGCAGAATGTGAACAAGTTGTTTTACTTCCTCGGCAGTCAGCTCCGCCAGGAAATAAGCCAGATATACAGTTGCTGCAAAGATGGTTGCACAGGTGCCCAAACGATTCGGACAGGCTTTGGCCTAGTCCACTCAAGAACTGAGAACAGCATTACCATCCACAGTTCGGGCACATTCTTGAACATGCATGCACTGGACCCGCCCCACTTGCACTCGGATCTGGTTAGTAGTCAACGGGAAGCACAGGTGTGTGGATGAACGTATAGAACTGCGAGTCAGCCTGAATCATGATAATGCAGCGCAGGATTTCTACACCCTGTGTGCATCAATGGCGGGGTGGCCAATTTTTGTGTGGCTCCCTTTGCAGGGTCTTTTCCCCGGTTTATCCGCCAGGTTAATTCATCCGGGGTTTACACTAGATGTGCTTGTCTCCAAATCCGAGGACTTGGTCTCACCTCATCGTTTTAAGTCGGGGATGCCTCCTTGTTTTGCCATTTTCTGATCTTCGCGACAACAGTGGGACCCTTCTTGCTCCCCGCCCCCCTTCTCCTCATTTGCGGATCGTGCAGGACAAGATCCGGAACCCCTTGGGCTTTGAGGACTGTGGGCCCGACTGAGAACCACACACGCACGCGCCTTTTTGTTGTGTTTTTCGTCTGCTTGTTTTCTTGCCTGTTGCTAGCTTTTTGGCTTGCTGGCTTAGTTGCTTCTTCGCTTGTTTCTTTCTTTGCTGGTTGGTTTTCACGACAAGTTCCCAGGCAAGTGCAGGGCGCTTCCACTTAGTGATTCTCTCAACAAATTGTGCCAAAATTGGTAGAATCCATGCAGGCCTCAGCAAGAGGTTCATTTCGCAGCAGGCTTCTTTTGGATCACGCATACGCACAAGCAAGGGGTGAATTGCTTGACTTGTTCATTTTACGCAACATGTGGGTGGGACCAATTCGTAGAATCAATAGCGCAGTCCCTGCCCCAAACTCACCTTAGGCTCGCTTTGGCCGAAAATAGCCTCTGATTGCCTTACTAAACTCCGCCCACATTTCCACTGCCTCAGTCTTGGTAGATTCTGCTACCACCGAAGCACTAATTCCTCGTAGGCACCTCAGGGAAGTGGGGGGGGTGCTTCGTAACCCCCCTCACCTGTCCAAAGGGTAGAAGTTGCGTTGTTGGTCTGGTTTGGTTGGTTCGCTGCGTTCGTTTGTTGGTTGCTTTGGTTTGTTTTGGTTTGCATTGGTTGGTTGGGTTGGGTTGGGTTGGGTTGGGTTGGGTTGGGTTGGGTTGGGTTGGGTTGGGTTGGGTTGGGTTGGGTTGGGTTGGGTTGGGTTGGGTTGGTTGGTTGGTTGGTTGGGTTGTTGGCTGCATTCGTTGGTTGGTTGGTTTCGTTGGCGTCGCACAGCGATTGAGGTTCGGTCAAAACTTCAGACAGTTGATGGTCCATTTGGGAGGGACCAGCACGGGGAACTTACCGGATTTCCCCAAAACATCCCGGCAACTCGCAGAATGTCCCAGGTCCCCCTGAAAGAACCTGGCCGGTCTTTGGTGTGACCGAGTCGCCCTTCAGATCTTTTGGGAGCAAATTTGGCCTTTCCAAACCTGCAAAAGGTGATCGACCTTTGGCTTGTCAGGGCTTGGAACCATCCGGCCGGGCCCGTCAGGAGAAGCGCCTGCAGCTGGGGGAGTTGGCCTTGAGGGATCTCCGTGCCTCGCTGGCCCGAAGCATCTACCCCGGCATCCCGTTTTTAGGTTTGGAATTTCTTTGAGGCAACCTTTTTGAAAGAAGCTTTAAGGCACATTCAACTCCATACTTGTGGAAACATCTGATTTTACGCCCACCTTCTGTCATGCCAAGGGAACGTTTCAACGTCACACAATGGTAAATCGCAAAGATCGAAAACATATGGGGGACATCTCTGCCACGACCTGTGCCGCTGCATAATTGGGTGTTGCGTTCAACCCATGACACGTCACACAAAATGCAGGACCCTGCGTTCAAACAAAGACAAGGTTGTGGATACCACCCTTTCTTTGATACGAGTTGTATCACTTTGAAGGAGGGTCTCCGTTTTCTAGGCAATTGAGCCATTATTTTCGCGCTCCGCGCGCCGGCCTCGCGTGCCAGGGAAGAACTATTGGGAAACCGAGCCGTGCGCGATGGATGGCTTAATGGCTGGATGGATGGATGGAAGGCAAGGCATGGATGGATGGATGGTTCGTTGGTTGGTTGCGTGCGTGCGGCCCGCGCGTTGCGCAAGTGCGGTGTGTGCGGCGCGTGCGCTTCATCAGGAATGTCTTGGGCAAGGCTGGCCCCAAACGCGGGCGATGCAAGGGATGTAGGCGGTAAAGGGATGGGAGCGCCAGTGTTTTGAGCCTTCCCCCAACTCGAGCTCTAATGGTCGCGCGGGCGGTGATGATGCACCAAAGGCGCTGGGCATGCAGACGATGCGAGGGGTCGGCAGCAGCAACCGTCAGTCAGTCGGAAGTCAAAGCCTAGGCCCCGTTGGGCGAAATTGCGCGGCGAGGCCGGATTTTTCTAGGCTGACGCACTGGCTGCTACGTGGGGTGTCTGGGAGGGCTGATATGGTCTAATTTTGTGAGGTGGTCTTTTGTGAGGTGCGAAATTGCGATGTTGACTTTTTGCACCTCGCAAATTCATTGGGGAATCAGGCTTGGTTCTCACGGTCGGGGGCTGGCGTGGTCGAATTTTGCGAGGTGCGGTTGGGATGGTCGGGATGGCTGAGGTCCGGACGGCTGGAACGGTCTAATTTTGAGAGGTGCGAAATGTTGTTTTCGCACCTCTGGGAGGGCCCTGGGGTAGTTGTAAGCAACGCCCGTCCCCTCCTCGGTGTGATTGGCTGGCAGCAGGAGGAGGGGCCCGTTTTGGTGTTTGGCCCGGCCAACTTCCAGTGCGCGGTGCTGACGCCTAGGTGCTGACATCTCCCACATGCTGCGGAGGCCACCGTGCGCATGTGTTTAACATAACGTAGTGGTGGTTCAGCTGAACCCTGCCTGACCCAGTTGTCAGCGCCAGGCCTACGGGAAAACTGGAGGACAAAGAGCCGGTCAGTGTGGACGATGTGCTGCCTGTTTGAGTTCGCGGGAATGGGCAGGTGGCCAGTTTAAAGGTGGGCCAAAAGACAAGAGGAGGACACTAACCCCGCTTAGAATTCCCTTAAACCACTGCGGTCTTTCTTATGTACTTGCCCACGTCTAAAGCTTGGCTGCTCATCATCCTGGCGCGCACGCACAGATATTGCCCACCTCTTATTGTGACAGGCACGTGCGCCAACTAGCATGTCTTCCTGGCTCCCCACAAATAGATGCATCGCCCCTTCGAGGAGTTCCCAAGCTTGATTGAGCCCCCATGTTGTGGGTGTGTCTGTCTTTCGCGGTACCCCGCTTTGGGTGGCGTGAATCAGCAAGGACCTGAAGCGAACCAGAGCTCCTGGAATTCCGAAAGAAACCCCGGGAACCGCTGCAGCTCAGGTTCGGAAGCCAGCCTCCCCGAAAAGGCAAGAAAACGGAGGCGATGGGAGCGCGGCGTGGAAGGGTTGCATGAGTGTTTTTTTTGTAGGAGTCCCATGGCAAATGGCACAAAGCCTTGTGCCGAGCCTTGTGCCGAGCAGTATAGAAACCATTGTTGGGGGGGGGGCTTGACTTTCGAAAAAGGGGGTCAACCACTGCCTTTGACGCCAATAGCTATGTACATATGTATGTAGAACCCCGAGCCCCGTCAGTACATCTGGGCAGCCATTGAAACGGTGTTGTGTCATTGTCGGCGTTGACCAGCTGAGCTGCCTTCTTTTTCTCCCAGTTGGGGTCCGTATAGCAATCAGAATACTTGATTGCCCCCAAATTTTCTCGGAACCAGTAGTCAACGATCTCCCGGCAGCTATAACAACTTGCTTATTGTTAGAGCCCAATGCGGGAATCCCTTTAATAAAGGAGGCCCCAAATGACTTGAAAAAAGCTGAAGTGAACCCTGCTAGACCTTGAGTGGTCACCAGGGCCGCGTTTTACATCCGTGGCCCCCGCTTAAGGCCGCCGCGGGTGTCAGAGGTCATGGTGCTCCGTTGTTTTGTTGTTTGTTACATTGTTCTCAGGCCTGTGCGGAGAGGGCCAACTTCCCACCCTTTGCTCAGCCACCCAACTCTGTAAAAAATCACAGGTGCTAGTGAATTTGTTTTAAACGGGGGTGGGAAACAGCAAGAAAATTGTCCATTCTGGATGCTCCTCATTGGAAACAGACCCAGGCCCAAATGTGTGCCTTTGTTGCAACAAACCAAGCATCATTGTTGGTCACATTCAGTGACCCGTCCAGATTCCAACTGTTATTCCAGGTCATTTGGCTCAAGGTGTAAAAGCACAGGGTTTGCTGTTTGACTACCTCTTCCGAAATGGAGGGGGGTGCAGGAAGGGCGGAGAACGGTCTTCGTGGTCCCTTCATTTCCTGAGAGCACGGGGTCAAAAGGTTGGCTGATGGGCATTCACCCGGGTTAGCTGTTGGTTCCCAAAATGCAATCAAAATTGTTTTATTTTTTGTTTTGCAGCTTCCCGACAGAACATGTCAACCCAAAAACGGGTTCCCTTTTCTCTGCAGGGTCACTGAACTGGGTTCCTATCCCAGCTGCCGAAGGTGGGGCCAGAAAGTGCCTTGGATGCAGCAGTCAGCGCCAGAATTCGGTTGATGTGGAAACGAATGAGGGTCTCAAGAAATACGCTTTCTACGACAAATTTGTCTCGAAGTCTCACCCTACGCCTGGTTCAGGTTTGTTTCTGGGCGCACGTCATTTCCTTGAGGACTTCTAGTTCAGTGGCGGGTGTTCTATCTGTTTCCGTGTGTGTTTCAAAAGGAAAAGTCCGCTGCAAAGTCCGCGTTTCCGGCATGACCCGGGCAAGTGAGGACGCATTCCCCTTTCTAGTTGCATGAGACACCCCTGGTTCTTTCCCAATGGCAGGAAATTGAAGGGGGAAAAACGGTGTGAGACCCATGGAGGCTCCATGAAAAAGATGTTTTGTTCTGATGTTGCTGAGCGTACCGACTGACATGCATGAAGCTAGGGGGACGGGGAAACCACATGCTCCAATCCGTAATCCAAGAGCACGCCAATCACAGCAATATGTAGCACGCGCGCATAGCCTCGAAAATATCAAGCCAATATCACTGGTCAAACGCCACCGGCATCAGACACCAAAGCCAGGAATGCAGCGCCCTCAATGGCGGGAATCCAAAACCAACATCGCGAGGCCACGCCTGCGGAGGCCTCCAAATGCACCGAGTTTTTGGCAGCGATATGATCACTGGACGAGACTTTGAGCTTAAAATGCAGGCCCCAAGCCGTTGGCTTTGACGAGGGTTCTGCAGGAAGACAGCCATTTCAGACCCAATAGCGCCTATTTACGCTTGACTAGCGTCGGTGGAGAATGTGTCCGCTCATGAATAGAACTGTGGCACTAGTTTTTCTTGTGGTGGCATCCAGCGAAGGATTGCGGATTGGGAATGCCGCCATTTTGAACAGCCCCCATGTTTGTTGAACATAGATGGCCCCAGTTTAAGTTTGACTAGCGCTTGCCAGTGCCATCTTGTTCCCCATTCACGAAAAAAGAAACGGATTCGGAACATCATGACGGAGTGGGAGACATCGACATGTTCCCGGCCCAGACTCGACACTCGAGGCCGCCCATCCTCGAGAGATGAGACATCGCCGGTGACCAGCACTTCCCTCACCTCCCCCTCCGCAGCACAGCTCACTGGAAGTGTGGAGCTGTGTTGTTCGTTGTTGTGGGTACCCTTTTTGGAGTTGTTTCAAAGGGAAACCTAGAAGAACCGCATTTTGTTGGGTTCCCCTGGTTTGACACGTACCTATTATGTCTCCTCTGGAGGGTGGCCCTTTTTAAGTTGTGGTTTGAGTGGGAGGGATGTGTTTTTTGAGGGGGCCCGGTCTTTAGGTTACCAGGTTGCATGAAAAAGCGCATAGAGACGCGGGTTCCCATTCTGAGGCAATACATGCAGAACCGACCTTGGCTGAGAAGACACGTGGGAGCTGGAAACTGGCTTCCGCCCTGGGTTGCGGAAGAAACGCTTTGTGGACATGTACACATTACACATTGTTGCCAGGCCATCCCCATGATTCTGGCAGCTTGCGGGTTTCATTGTGCCGGCGGACTAGTGTTCAAGTTGAATTCATTGAGGTAAAGTCGCTGAAGAAGGGGGCCTCCAGGCTGCGGGAAGGCGCGGGATCCAGGATGGGTTTGGGGCGTCATGCGTTCGCTTTCTACAAAGAAAGCCACCATGTGTGGTGTCCCCCTAGTTTGGCACATCCCATTTGGGAGGGTCACAAAAACCCGGCGATCTTTGCATCTTTCCGCGCGTGGTTGCTCACAAATTGCCCAGTTTAATCGAGGCTTGCGCAGGAACCAGCTTTGCATACCGCACGTAATGTGTTGGTCCTGAAGTGGGAATGATGATTCTCTCGGGAGCGAAAGGGGTTAGTTGTGATATACAGTAAGTTGTGGATTTACTTCCTGCCCAGTGTTGAAACGTCTATGGCTCACTCGAATTGCGACTCCAAGCTCTCAGCTATGGCTTGCATGCTTCATGCTTTGCAAGGCCCAGCTGCCACCCGGACCAAACAGGTAGCACATTGTTCCCCCACTGCTAGGCAAGTGTTGAACCACAGACAAGAGACCTGGGTTTGCTAGGGGTGATGCTTAAGGCAGCAGCCAGGACCGTGGCTCATTGTGGTATCTGACTATGTGTGCTGGGTTGACTTGTTGGTTTCGTGCTGCGTGCCCCAAATGCACACTCCTTGTAAAACGAACACGATGCTGTGCCGCCAGTCTAGAAGGAAAAAACTGTTGTGGCTCGGAACGCCGCAGAAAAGCACAAAGTCGCTTTCGTTGATTAAATGTCCTCATTTTTTTTCTCACGGCCATTTCCTTGCCAATTCAAGGATTCCAAGGGCGAACGGGGGGTAAGATGCGGTGTTGTGGAGTTCGCATCCGCCTCAGCCAAGCTCAGCTTCAAACGAGGCAACTCGGCAACTCCTCCCCTCCCCCCCAGTTTGTGAGCAGCATTGTTGTGTCTTCCTTTTCTGGGAAAATGGAGGGTTGACCTCAATGCCCCTTGGGGGATCTCTCCTAAAATGATTTTTTGTTTCAAGGCTTCCTCGTGGATCATAGTCGCACATCCTGTTTTGGATGTTGTCGGATGGTCAAAAGGTGGGTCAACGGGATGGATGACCCCTTTCTGGAGGCGTCAGCTTCGAGTTGCTCCCGAGTGAGGAGGACACGCCAGCGTTTTGCAGCCAAAGTCTTGGGGCCTAGCGCTAAATAGCAGCATCGATTTTCCCAAATGGCGAACCATGGCGAACCTTTGGGGGTTGTATTGATTTTTGTCGATTTTCTAGGTCCCCCTGTGGAACCCTAGCCGTAACTGGCATTCCGCTCCTCTTTTGGAAGCAACGCCCTCACGTGGCCATTGGCAAGAGGACATTCAGCATCTCAGGAGTCTACAAAGTAGGTAACGTGGTGAAGACTCATGTGTGCCGTGACCATCGTTCCCTTGACAGGAAGAATTCAACACTCATGGTAGTCCAAGAGGTGGATGACGGGCCCTACCAGCCAAGTAAACGGGCCTCTGCCCATGGCACAACCCGCTTGGGATGTGCAAAGATGCCCTCCTGTCGAGCGTGTGGTCCCACAGGTTTTTTGTTTTTGTGTTTGTTTTGTTTCTTGTTCTTGGGTTGTTGCTTTTTCTTTTCGGGGCGGGGAATGTTTGCAAGCCTCATTGTGATGAAACCTGCCTCAGGCTAACTCAATTTCAAGCAAAAGGAGGGACAAAAGTCAGCCTGGACGGAGGATTCCGTCAAATTGGGAGTGGGGAACAAGGCCAACCCTGTAATTTCTATGGTGTGCAGTTGCATTACCCTCGCTACCAACATGGAACCTTTCCCAGGGTCTCTTGAAGGGGAACCAACTTATTAGACACGAGCACTTGCCCTGCCCATGTCCCATTTAAGTCTGATTCCTTCGTTCCTTCGTGCAACCTAGGTCATACAGTCCAGAATTTAAGCAAGCCTGGCCGTTTCGGAATGATATGGAATTGAGTCACACATGGCACATGCACTTCAAATAAACAAGGACTGCATGCATGATGCATTTGCATTGGGCTTCAAACAGCATGTGAGTTGTAGATATGCCCGTGGTTTGTGTTGTATGAATGTCAGCGCGCGCCAAGCGCGGGTCAGTTTGTTTGGCTTTGAACATGGCAAGTGGCCATATGTTGTAGGCCTGTGCCCTGGTGGTCCCTGCCCGCTAGTGAACTTATGCCAGGGCCAAACCCCTTCCTCCGGGCAACAGATAACTTGAAGGTGCCCCCTTGCTTTCTGTGCACAATATAAAAGGAGGTAGGTCATTTCCTCCCACTTGCTCCCACCCCAGGGCCTTATGTGAAAATTTGCATGGGGATCCCCAAGTTGCCTGCTCCACAGCGAGGAGCCTAACGCAGGCAGGACCGGGCAGCGGAGGGGGGAATAGCACATGGAACCCTCACTGTGGCCCACCCATTTCTTTGGCCATCCCCAAGTTTGTGCGAACTATACCCATTCATTGGGTATGCTACGTATCTCGTTGTTGTTACTCTGCCCAGTTCGGGACTCCCCATACTTTGCCGTGTGCAACTTCACGCATTATTCAATGATGAAGGCCTCTTCAAAATGTGAAGCCACATTTCGGGTTGGTGATGGGTTCACCTAGAACCTTCCCGTTTTGGCGGGCTGTGAACAATAACATCTCCGTTTGGTCGAGTTCAAAGTCGTCGTGCGTAAACGAGGCATCCACGAGTCTCCATCCACTCTTGAGCGACCAGTGCGAACGCGAGCAGTGTACAAGGCCCGGATTAGCCCTGAAGGACATACAGGACTTGTGGGGCCGCCGTGCGTAAAACTACCCGCCCAGAACCGTCCTCGCTTTCTGGCCAGGGGGATTTGGGGTCATCAAGCAGGGGCTCGTACGCAAGGTGCACGATGGGAAAGAGGCGTGGCGTATTGTGGCGAAGCACCAGAAGCAATTCACTGCAGACCCACGGGTGGCTAAAGCAGTCGCACGGCATAGCGGCACTGGGAGAATGCCGCTCGGCCAACCCAGTGCGAGATGACGGCCGGCACCAAATTTGATGCCTCAAAGTTGGGCCAACCTGTTTGAGAATTTTCGAACGATGACTTGCTCAATTGGCCGGTGCCAGTTGTGGTCAACACAGCGTTGATCAACTGAATGGGACGTTTGAGACAGATAGGAGCCAGTGGTTTTTTGAGGCCAAACCCATAGGCCAAGGTTTCAAGGCTCACCTGTGCTGCGTTCGCGGGCAGGTGAAGAGAGCAGAGGCCGCTCGCTCTGGAAGTCAGCCCTGTCGCAGCCCGAGTGCCCACTTTCTTTCCGGATGCCCAGCTCTTGGGGCAAGGGACGCCGTAAAACATGCAAGCGAGGGAGTCCCCAATTCAACAAGTCGGGTTTCATGTCCTGGGGGGGCAGTTTTGCGATAAGGGAGCCATGATCATCCTAAGGCCTCGAGCCGATCACAGGGCTCCCGATGGATTGCCCCTGTGGTTTTAAACCCGAGGTTCCTCTCACCGAGGTTCCTCTCCCCGGAGTAACCCGCTGGTTGATTCAGGGGGCCGGAGTTTTTCTCCAAACCCAAGCAGGAACGCCATCACCTTGCGACAGGTCTGCTTGGGCCAATCCGCAGGGTGCGAGTCGGGCAGGGTCGTGAAAAAAAACAATGGGGCCTCTTGGGCCTGGCTTAAGGGTTTGAGATGCATCTCGTGAGGTTTCGACGACTTTCCAAGAAGTTCATTGAAATTGCAGATTTGGGCTCGGAATGTCGTAGGATTTTTATTGGATAGATAGATTCATCGGAAATTTTGGGAGCATTGGAATTTCAGTGGAAATCCATTGGAATGCCCACCCCGGCCCCACTTTGTCTCAGGGCAGCATGCTTCAAAAGCCCTGCGTGGAACATTGCTGAGAGTGTTGAGCTGTTTTTTCCCGATAGTCTCCAGGCCGGGCATGATACAGACCATGATTCTAGTAAACAGTGCTCCCCCCCCCGATAGCTGCCGTAATTCCAGGAATCAGGCCTGGAGTACGATCCCAACAAGGTATTCAATTATTTTGAGGGATCGGGGAGTCACCTGTCGAATGATACTAGAATGATAACTTCCTGGGAAGGCAACCCCTCCCCCCCGGTGGAACGCAGTATTTTTGTTGGACAATCGCAGGGAACGTGCTGGAGTTAGTACTGGCACGACATGTTGAAACACCCCTGTCAAGCAGCCCCCATGAAAGTGTTTCATGACACTGAGACGCCAACCACCGTCCTTTGCTACTCGAGGTCGCAACAGCACAGCAGCGGACGGTCAGGCAACAACTGTCGGTGGTTTCAGGTCTGGCTGCTCGATTTCCTTGTGTCCTTACTTTAACGCGTCCTCAAGTTTTCGTTAAATGAAGTCGACGGTGACACGTGTCAAGTAGCATCGGCTGCGGGTTTCAAGTCGGGCAGTTGCTGCTTGCTACTGCGTTACCAAGCAGTCCCGCCCTTCCCAAGCCCTACAACTTGCTTGGCTATGGGCGTCCGTTTATTGGGAGTACCTTTTGCACCCCGGTTTGAAGGGAAACCAATAGGAACCGGGCCTAGCATCCATTGACATGGGCCCATCCAACATATCCCAGAGTATAGTAGCGTGGCTTAGGTCTTCGCCTGAATAGCCTGACAATGCAAAGGTTCGCACATCCCCCTCCCCCCTCTTTTTTGTAGTTATCCCGTGCCATCCACGTTCAGCAGCAGTTTTCACAAGCTGAGACGGGAAACAATTCGCCACTTTGTGCCGCCACCACCGGCAGATTAAGTGCGCACTTTTCCATTAGCAAGGTTGACTGGCACGGGGAACCGCAGACATGTCTCGAACCCCAGTAACATCGAAAGGGCAGCTTTAAGTATGCGAGGGGGCTCTCAGCATGGCGATGTTTTGGCAAAGCCACCGGCCTAGATGTCCACCAAAGGGTCCCCAAATTGAAAACCATGCCAATGCGAATGCAAAAATGTATGCATGTCTATCTATCTTATCTATCTATCCATCCATCCATCCATCCATCCATCTATCTATCTATCTATCTATCTATCCCTCTCTCTTTCTCTCTTTCTCTCTTTCTCTCCCCCCTCTCTATCAACCAAACCAGTCACGGTGGCGTAGGCCACCACCATTGGAAGGAGCATTTGCCGTTGGACTTCCAGCTCTTTCTTAACATTGGTCGTGCAAGAGCAAGGCCATATTTGGTTCTTGTAAATACACCGTTATACAAATAGACAACTGTCATATAAAGACATATATATATATATGGTACCCCTCCCCCCCCCCAGTACCCAGGTGTTGTTGCATCATGTATCAAAACTATGGATATTTACAGTGTATTTTGATTGAACTCATGCATTTTCTGCAAGGCCATTTTGTGGACCAAAAAAAACCCAAAAAACAAAAAACAAAAAACCCAATCCTAGCCCCCACCATGGCTGGGATTCTTTGGTTTTTTTGTTTTTTGGTTTTTTGGTCCAGGGAAATGTTGCGCAACAAATTCCAAATGTTGCGCAACATTTGCGGAGCATGATGAGAGGATATGTGAACCTTTGTGAAAGAAGGCATGTTCTGGGTGAGAGGATATGTGAATTTTCTGTAGAGAAGAGTTAGTGAAAAAGACATGTTTTGTGTGAGATGATCTGTGAGTCTTTGTGGAAGAGTCAGGGTTACAGTGATTCATAAAAGTACAGCAGAATACAGTAAATATCATGTAAAACCACAATTTATGTAACACAAACTGTCCCAGCCATAGCCTGGTTTTATTCTACACAGGGTTCACTTTCCTTGGCAACTCTTTCACATATGCTGCGTTTGTTTCATTGAAAGAAGACATGTAAACAGACATGTGTTGGGTGAGAGGATGAGTCACTTTTCTGTGGAAGAGTCTTTGAAACAAGGCATGGTTTGTGTGGGAAGATATGTCAGTTATCCGTGGAAGAGCCTTTGAAAGAAGGCATGGTTTGTGTGGGAAGATATGTGAATTATCTGTGGAAGAGCCTTTGAAAGAAGGCATGGTTTGTGTGGGAAGATATGTGAATTGAATTTTGTGTGGAAGAGCCATTGAAAAAGGGCATGGGTTTGGTGAGAGGATATGTGATTCCTTGTGAAAGAAGGCATGCAAAAACACATGTTTTGGGTGAGAGGATGAAAGAATTGTCTGTAGGGAAGAGTTATTGAAAAGACATGCTTTGTGAGATTATATGTGAATATTCTGTGGAAGAGTCTTTGAAAGAAGGCATGGTTTGTGTGGGAAGATGTGAGTTTTCTGTGGAAGAGCCTTTGAAAATGGCATGTTTTGGTGAGAGGATATGTGAACCTTTGTGAAAGAAGACATGTTCTGGGTGAGAGGATAAGCGAGTTATTGAAAAGACATGTTTTGTGTGAGGGATGATATGTGGGTCTTTGTGGAAGAGTCAGGGATACAGTGATTCATAAAAGTACAGCAAAAAGACAGTAAATATCATGTTAAACCACCATTTATGAAACAAAAACTGTCCCAGCCATAGCCTGGCTTTATTCTACACAGAGTTCCCTTTCCTTGGCAACTCTTTCACATATGCTGACTTTGTTTCATTGAAAGAAGACATGTAAACAGACATGTGTTGGGTGAGAGGATGAGTCAATTTTCTGTGGAAGAGTCTTTGAAAGAAGGCATGGTTTGTGTGGGAGGATATGTGAATTTTCTGTGGAAGAGCCTTTGAAAAAAGGCATGTTTTGGTGAGAGGATATGTGAACCTTTGTGATCGAAGGCGTAAACAGACATGTTTTGGGTGAGAGGATGAATGAATTTTCTGTAGAGAAGAGTTATTGAAAAGACATGCTTGTGCGAGATGATATGTGAATGTTCCGTGGAAGGGTCTTTGAAAGAAGGGGTTTGTGTGGGAAGATATGCGAAATTTCTGTGAAAAATGGCATGTTTTGGTGAGAGGATATGTGAACCTTTGTGAAAGAAGACATGTTCTGGGTGAGAGGATATGTGAGTTTTCCGCAGAGAAGAGTAATTGAAAAAGACATGTTTTGTGTGAGATGATATGTGGGTCTTTGTGGAAGAGTCAGGGTTACAGTGATTCGTAAAAGTACAGCAAAAGACAGTAAACATCATGTAAAACCACCATTCACTTTCCTTGGCAACTCTTTCACATATGCTGTCTTTGTTTCATTGAAAGAAGGCATGTAAAAAGACATGTGTTGGGTGAGAGGGTGTGTGAATTGTTAGTGGAAGAGTCTTTGAAACAAGGCATGGTTTGTGTGGGAAGATATGTGAGTTATCCGTGGAAGAGCCTTTGAAAGAAGGCATGGTTTGTGTGGGAAGATATGTGAATTATCTGTGGAAGAGCCTTTGAAAGAAGGCATGGTTTGTGTGGCAAATCCGAGCTGTTCTTCCTGCCTGCTTCCGCGGTCAAAGCACATCTGAACCAAGCCCAAACCTGGGTACCTGGGCGGGGGGGGGGTAGCATACATATATATATATATGTGTGTGTGTGTGCCCACTCTGTTTTATTTTCGACCCATTATCATAGGAAGGACACGGGAACAGACCCGACCCGCTATGTGAACATGCCGGAATTTTCCAACCACTCCCACCAGAGTCAGGAAGTCGCGTGACGGAAAGTGAGCATCTAGGGGCCCTTCGCCGGGCTGTATGGTGTGTGCGGGTCTGCTCTTGTTAAAGCGATCTTTTCGTTTCCACAGGGCTCCGCAATTGCAGAGTTACTAATGCCAATCATGCCAGAACAGGTGGCAAAAGGACGCACGCTTGAGAATTTCCTGGTGGTTGTCCGGGACGATTGAGGGGCAACCAAAGGATGGTGACATTCTTGCCTCAGCTGCTTCTTCTCGCAGCCAGGCAGTCAGTTGGACGTCACAGCCTCTATCTCACTCAAAGGCCAGATGTGAGACAGAGACGAGGGACGAGGAAGTCACGACGGCTTAAGCCAGTTGTCCCAAGTAGCGAGTCCCTTGCTGCGTGAGTCCCCCTAGCAGTCAGACCTGATAATGCAAATAATGTTCTTGATTAATAAAGGCCCCCCCCCCCCGAACAATGGAAGCGCCAAAACAATGGGGGTGCACTTTTGGGACGTCCAAACAATGGAGGATCTTGGGGCCCAATTCTACTTTAGTATTGCAGCCACTTCCTTTTTGCAATTCTACTTTAGTATTGCAGCCACTTCCTTTTTGCAATTCTACTTTAGTATTGCAGGCACTTCCTTTTTGCAAGCCTACTTTAGTATTGCAGCCACTTCCTTTTGCAACCAATTGAAAGGGGAATGCTTTGAAGCAAGTGGGCCACCAATTGAAAGGGGATGCTTTTAAGCAAGTGAGCCACCAATTGAAAGGGGAATGCTTTTAAGCAAGTGGGCCACCAATTGAAAGGGGAATGCTTTTGAGTAAAGCAACTGATAGCTTATTTTCTGGGAGGGGGGGCTGGGGGCTTGCAACTATCGTAGTCCCCTGAAACAATGACATTAGTGTGGTTCAGTGGGGTCTGTGAGGGGTACCCTTGTCCTGATTGTTTTTTGGCATTTGTTTGACACGGTTTAATAAAGAGTTTGCAGTTTCAAGGCTGGGGATTGTTTTCAATTTCTGAGGTTTCAGCTGGCTTTGGGTTCTGTGGTTGAGCAACCAAGTGAAAGGGGAATGCTTTGAAGCAAGTGGGCCACCAATTGAAAGGGGATGCTTTTAAGCAAGTGGGCCACCAAATGAAAGGGGATGCTTTTAAGCAAGTGGGCCACCAATTGAAAGGGGATGCTTTTAAGCAAGTGGGCCACCAATTGAAAGGGGAATGCTTTTGAGTAAAGCAACTGATAGCTTATTTTGTGGGAGGGGGGGGCTGCGGGCTTGCAACTATTGTGGTCCCCTGAAACAATGACATTATTGTGGTTCAGTGGGGTCTGTGAGGGGTACCCTTGTCCTGATTGTTTTTTTTTCATTTTTTAACACGGTTTAATAAAGAGATTGCAGTTTCAGGGCTGGGGATGGTTTTCAATTTCTGAGGTTTCAGCTGGCTTTGGGTTCTGTGGTTGAGCAACCAAGTCAAAGGGGTATGGGGTCAACATGGATTTTGGGGGATTGTTTGGGGGGGGATTTTTCCCCAAACAGCGAAGCACTGGGGTTCTAACTTGAGGTATAAGGAATGGGAAAGTGTGACGCCGGTTCCGGGGTCCTGTTTTCCGCTTGTCTTCCTGTCTCCCAGTCTCTCCGGTCAGATGCCAGATGCTGTGACGCTGGCTCCGGGGTCGTGTCTCCCGCTTGTCTCCCTTTGTCTCCAGTCTCCGCGGTCAGATGCCAGATGTCGTGTCTCCCGCTTCTCCCTTTGTCTCCCAGTCTCCGCGGTCAGATGCCAGATGCTGTGACGCTGGCTCCGGGGTCGTGTCTCCCGCTTGTCTCCCTGTCCTGTGTCTCCCAGTCTCCGCGGTCAGATGCCAGATGCTGTTTGTCTCCCTGTGTCTCCCAGTCTGTCAGACGCTGGCTCTGGGGTCGTGTCTCCCCCTTGTCTCCCTGTGTCTCCCCCTTGCGTGGCCCATCAGCAGAGCCCTGTCGAGCCTTAAACATGTACTTTTGTTCTCAATAAAAAAATCTGACACTGATTGCTTTGCTCAGGATTCTGAGTTGCTTTTTGGAATCACCTCTTTCTCAAGTGCAGGTTTTGCATCCTTGTTTCGCATCAGCAGAGCCTTGTCGAGCCTTTAATCTGTATATTGTTCTCGATAAACAAATATACCGTGACATCTGCCTGATTGCTTTGCTCAGGATTCTGAGCTGCTTTTTGGAAGCCAGTGTGTCCATTTTGTTCTCGATACACAAATGTACCGTGACATCCGCCTGATTGCTTTGCTCAGGAAACTGAGCTGCTTTTTGGAAGGCGCATCAGCAGAGCCCTGCCGAGCCTTAAAAATGTACTGTTGTTCTCGATAAACAAATACCGTGACATCTGCCTCATTGCTTTGCTCAGGCTTTTTGGAAGCCAGTGCCGCACTTCTTGGTCAAGTGCAGGTTTGCATCCTTCTGGCGCATCAGCAGAGGCCTTATATATGTACTTTTGTTCTCGATAAACAAATGCCGTGACATCCGCCTGATTGCTTTGCTCAAGAAACTGAGCTGATTTTTGGAAGCCGGCGCATCAGCAGAGCCCCGCCAAGCCTCAAATATGTACTGTTGTTCTCGATAAACAAATACCGTGACATCTGCCTGCCTGCTTTGCTCAGGCTTTTTGGAAGCCAGTGCCGCACTTCCTGACCAAGTGCAGGTTTGCATCCTTCTGGCGCATCAGCAGAGGCCTTAAATATGTACCTTTGGTCTCGATAAACAAATACCGTGACATTCGCCTGATTGCTTTGCTCAGGAAACTGAGCTGCTTTTTAGAAGCCAGCCGCACTTCTTGGTCAACTGCAGGTTTAAATGTGTCTGTTTTCTCGATAAACAAGTACATTGGGACATCCGGCTGATTGCTTTGCTCAGGGTACTGAGCTGGTCAAGTGCAGGCTTGCATCCTTCTGGCGCATCAGCAGAGCCCAGCCAAGTGGCCGTAGCTGACTGGTTTGCATCCTTGTGGCGCATCAGCAGAGCCCAGCCGTAACTGACTGGTTTGCATGGGTTTGCATCCTTGTGGCGCACCAGCAGAGCCCAGCCAAGTGGCCTCAACGGCGCATCAGAGCCCAGCCAAGTGGCCGTGGAAAGCAAGGAAGTGGTTTGGCCAAAGGAGGATCAGTGTGCATGAACATGCTATCGGCGCACGGGAGTTGCAGTTGCAACTGATTACCTTATATCCTAGCAAGTTAGCTGCTTACCCACGCAACCGCGCACCCACAGAAACACAAATAGAGAGAGAGAGAGGGGGAGAGAGAAACACGCACGCACACGCACGCACGCACCCACCCACCCACCCACACACACACGCACGCACGCACGCACGCACGCACGCACGCACGCACGCACGCACGCGCGCACGCGCGCGCACACACGCACCCACACAGACACACACACACACACCCGCACGCCCGCCCGCAGGCCCGCCCGCCCGCCCGCCCGCCCGCCCGCACGCACGCACGCACGCACGCACGCACGCACACACGCACGCACGCACGCACGCACACGCACACACGCACACACGCACACACGCACACACCCACACCCGCAGACACCCACCCACGCGCCCGCGCACGCGCACACACGCACACACAGACACATACACACCCACGCACACGCACACTCACGCACGTCGGACACGCAAACACGCAAACACGCACGTGCACGCAACCACGGGACCACGCAAACACGTAAACACGCACACACACACACACACACACACACACACACACACACACACACACACACACACACACACACACACACACACACACACACACACACACACACACACACACACACACACACACACACACGCACGCGCGCGCGCGCGCGCGCGCCTGTTGGGTTCCGGAGGTTAGGGGGGTAGCCGGGTGTTGTGACCAAAAGAACGCAACGCTGGCAAGCTGCTCTCATGCCCTTCAAGGATACGATAGTCATCAAACCAGCGAAGTGTCTTTTATTATTTCGGAGGGCAGCCATCCTGCCAAAGACTTTCGGCCAGGACGATGATGATGGCCATAGTGTCTTGTTGGTTGATATGAATCGGATTCCCTGTAGTTGGTGGTTTTGAGTTGTGGTTTGGGGGTTTGAACCCCTGGTCATTGTAAAGCGCAAATGGGAAATCACTTCCTACTCTTTAAGCCACAAATCCGAACCACCAATTTGAGGGAAGCGGAATACAAGTATAGTTTATGGTTTCCTTCGACCATACCTCTTGGAGCTGTCTTTGAAGGTGAAGTGCTGAGGCTAGTATGACAGCTGGTGCTTCTTTGCCCCGATTTGGTGGCAATCTTCTTTCCTTTTGTAGCTTCCCCACAAAAAGCATCTAAAACGGTCAACCCCAAAAAAGGCTCCCTTTTTAACCAATACAGATCAATACAGCATTCCGAATGATTCGGACCCCAGCCAATCAGAGGTCCCTTGGCTTCCATTCCCGTCAAATCAAGCCCATGTGCTATTCCAAACATAGAATTACGCCCCGTCAAATCTCGGCCCTTCGAGTCGCTGCCTTCAAGTTTTCTTTGGGCCGCACTTTCACATTTTCTGGCATTTTTTCCGTTGCCTTTACATGGGATAAATGCTGGCGAGGGGGGGGGGGGGCTGCCAGCCTTCGGTTGATGGGTCCCCCCAAAGGCTGAGGAACTCCAGGCACCGGTTTTTGCGAGCAACTTCTGCCCTCTGCGCCTCGCGCCTGGCCAAAACTGATGCATTGCAAAACGGTGGCTGGGCCTCCCAAGAAGGGCATCACGAACAGCATCCTTTGGTGCTTGCTCGTTTTGGGGTGAAGGTGGCCACTTTCTGTGGTTCCAAAAAAGTCCCCAATCATTGTAATTGGGATGGCCACTTTTGGTATCACAGAAATGTAAATGTCCACGACCATGGATGGTACAGAACCGTGTGAGAGTGATACAGGAAGAAAGGGTGGTTTGCCACAATGCAAGCAAACTAGGCGGACCCAAGCAAGTGCGCTTTTGCCCTGTGGCTTCCTTCAGACCAACCAAGGTCACCCTCAAGCCCAGAACCCGCAAAGCACACAGCCGAGCGTAGCTGGGGCCAACAGTCTTTAGGCTGGCGTTTTTGCCAGGAATGAGCACCGGCAGAGTGCCTTGGCCGATCGAGCCGATCGACCTCTTGCGGGAGGGGAACGGGGTTGGGGCCCGGGGTGGCCTTTGAACCTGCGGAGATTGACCTGGAACCCAAGGGGGTCCCACCAAAAAGAGATTGATGGAAATCCATGTTCTGCAGAGCAGTCAGCTTGTAAAGCAGGCGCTTTGTTGAGGTATCCTAAGGAATCCTGATCGACAAACAGAAGATTTCTCTCTCCATGAAACTCCCGCACCATTAGAGATGGAATTGGCTGGGGGGGGGAGGATGGATGTGCACCCCTGAACTTCATTTAATGTCGATTTTATTCTTTTGCCATGTCGGGGCAAGGGGCGCTGATGAACCATGACGGACCCGCCACTAAAAGAGAACACCCCCGATCAATATTAAACAAGGGTTTATTAATCACAGAGTTCCCAAATATCATAGAAGCTGACAGGAGCGGTTTTTTGGGAAGACAGGAAGATTACTTTCCTTTTGTCGAAGCCCCTTATCCACATCCATGATTGTTGGAGAAGATGTATATTGTTTCATACACTCTGTGCAACCGGGTCCGACTCATGGAATTGGAGAATCCGACCAGTTGGAGCGGAGCATCGACCCCGGGCTACGCAAGCGTCTGCTCGAAGCCTTCAGCCGTCCGGGGGCCTGGTCTTGGCGGGTCGGGACCAGATGAGCCCCAGTCTCAGCCGGGGTCCCTGAGTTTTCTCTATTTTGGTTTGTTAGAAATCACTAGCTAACTGCAACTCTTGCAGGGTGCTATTCGGTCAACATTTCCTGATTCGTTTGTGGTCCACTTGCAGTCCGGGATGTGGGTGAAAAGGGGAACATTCGTAGTTTTGACCCACTGCAAGCTTGCGCTCATTTTGCAGGTTTCCCAAAGTGGCACCAGAATCTAAACACATCATTTTGAGTTCTCGGCAAAAGCCGAGATAGCCTTTTCTCCTGGTCAAACCTCTCCTGGCCCTTGTGTTTCGCCTTCGTTCTGTTGGTTTTCTATTTGTTGGTTGCCCTTTTGTTTCTCTGTGTTGTGATGTTGTGTTCAACGGTTTCTTCTTTTGCTCCTTTTGAAGACCCTGGTTGTTTTACCCACTATTCTCAGTGTGTGTGTGTGTTTTGTCCTTTTGTTTTTGCATGTGTTTCTCATAGGTCGGCTTTTTTGTGTTTGATAGCTTGTTTTGGTAATCCGTTCTCTTTCTGTTGCTGTATCTTAGTTGTTTCGCCGAGTTCATCATTTTATCCATTTGCTTTCTACTTGAGTTTCTCCTGGTGAATTATCCCGTGTGTTGTTCTTTCCTTTTGCTCCATGTTGTTTCGTTCTGCTCCTCTAGGTTGGTTGACATTTTCTTTTGTTCTCCTTTTCCTTCTTCTTTGGTGGTCAATTGGTGTTTCTGTCAGGTGTTTGCCCAGCCTTCCATTGGGCCTTTCACTGGGTTCGCGTGCCTGGGACATCCAGCAACGAACGGTTTCTCCCTTTGAAACGGTTGAACACAATTTGTGTCCTTTTGCCCGAAAGTACCAACAACGGAAGAGACCTTCACGCAACACACATGACGAAATCGTTGGTTTCGCTTTGGTTTCCCTTTCAAGACGCCTACAAGCCTTTACACAACAAAACAACATGCCAAAGCACAAGGAAAAGCACACCCACAGACATTTAAACAAAAACAAAAACAACAAACACAACCTCACAGACAAGACCCAAGAAAACGGGGAGGCGAGAGGAGCTTTTTTCGCAGGCCGCGCGGAGAGCAAAGAGCTCCACCGGGAGGACCTGCCTGCGGCTCTGGGCATGGCCGGCTGGGCGGTGACCAAGGCCTCCGCGCTCGGGGGCTCGGGTGCTCGGGGCGCTCGGTGTGCTCGGGCTCGCGGGTCTGGGTCCCAAGCCGCCCCCCCCAGCCCCCGCTGCCCGTGTTTCCGTGGTTCCTCCTTCTTCTTTTTTTAAGAGGGTGGGTGCCCGTTTTGTTTTTGTTTTGTTTTTGTTTTGTGGGGGGGAGGGATGGTTTTTAAACTTGGAAGTCGACTGAATTTAGACTTACTAAATATATAGTTATAGAGTCTTATAGAGAGCCCATTTTTCTCCCATGAGTCCTCAGAATTGCTTTTGGGGTTGGTTTTTCTTCAAGTCTAGTTTTGGAGAAGAACTCTGCGGATGTCACTGTACGGGACCCAGTGGGTGGAAGAGGGTGGAAGGCGACGGGGAAGCACAGGGGAAACAGGGGAAAAAGGGAGACACACGGGACACGGCAGGGCGACACTGCGGCTACAAAAAACATGGCTACATGTTTGGAAACACGAAATGTCCGGTTGCCACTCATGCACTTCTCCATGTCACTTAGAAGTGTTTCGCTTTTAGTGCCCATTTGGGATGGTCGCTGATTCATAAAATCATCCGAATTAAAGATTGAATCAGTCCAAAGTGGACATTGCCTATGGGCGGTGCTCCTTGGCAAACAGATCACTGAGAAAGAGCAAGCTGCCGACCCGGACAGCGGCTTAGGCAGTTATCCAAATCAACACTGCCCCTTTGGCATCCTAAAATTACACTTTGCTTTTGTTGGTTTTTTTCCCCGAGAGGAAACCACAACGGCATGAATAATTGAGCAATTCAGTCACACGTACAGCTTCCATTTTGAGATCATGGATTGCCCAGCTACCTCTAGGGCCCACAACTGCCGCACAATTGCAGAACACAACATTTGAGATCACTACAGTGGCCGTAGGCAGCCAACAGGCAGGGTTCCGTCAAAAGGTAGTGTTGAAATCAAATTACGACGAGTTTTCGTAGGATGTGGGGTCTAAACCCGGGCCAGTTATGAGTCTCCTGGAGGTGTTCCTGCCATGCCAGGAAATCAGGCTCCTCATAGAGGAGGCATACGACAGCTTGTTCCAGCCTTTCAGCTGCAACTTGCAGAGTCTTAAAGGATGTGCGACTTGTTTTGGGACCATGCGTTTTGGTTTGAATTGGTTTGGTTCAATCACCGTGAAGGAACATGTCATTGCGGCAGCAGGGTGCGGCACAGCTCATTGCAACAGGCTGCGGAGCGTTTTTTTATTCTTCGTTTTTTTAATGAGGACGTCAACACAACAGGAAGCAAACAGTTGGCCCAAGGATGCTCGCAGCTTGGTTGTCTACTTGAAGCAACTCAGGAGAGCAGAGGGCAATCTTCAAAACAAACTGCAACAACAAGGGGGCAGGATATTTGATTTTTTTTGTCAATTTCTCTACCACCCACTCGTCACGCATGCCTTATGGGCACCCTAAAGAGGAGGTGCTTAAAACCGAGTTTACAGGTACAACACCATGACGCAGAATGAGTTCCTCCAGTTCTTTGAGCACTTCCAGGCTCTGGAGAAGCAACGCGCCTTCGAGTCCCGGCCAGGAAGCAGGCTCAGGCTGCGGGTAGGTCTCCCACAAGCAGCTTGAGGCCTACTCTGGGTGATTTTACCCGGGCGGAAGCGAGAGCTATGATGATCATGATGATCCTTCAAAACTGTGACGTGCTTTCCATTTGGCTTGCCTCTAACCCCAATGTGGACGGTCAAAGCACGTACCTATGCATTTTTGCCCCCCACACCAAATAGAGGAACTACATGTGGTGAGTTTTAAAGGGGTTTGCCAACAGGAGGCCCATCATTTGGTTGTTCCACAAAATTTCGAGACACCTATCGGTCACCCCTCCTCCCACAAACATAGCACCTGTTGTGAGAGAAGATCCATATCCTCTTGATGCAAACGGGCCTAGGTGCAACATGCTGGTCTTTTCGGGAGGCTTGTTCCGTTGGGTTTCTTTGGGCGGTTGTTCTCTTTTTTTCCATTTGCCATCGATCCGATGGAATCCGCTGCTTGGATCTGGGCGACGGCCAATTCCCAAGGAGGCCTTCCAAACCTTCGACGCGGACGGCAGCGGCACCATCGACTTCGAGGAGCTCGGGGCGCTCTTGGAGTCCCAGGCTCCCGAGCCATGGGGAGAAGCGTGGGCTGGGAGTTTTCGTTGGAGCATAGTGGTCCCCCAAAGAAAATTCACAACCATAAGCCCCTCTGATGGCACGGGGGGGGAGAGAGAGTGAGAGGGAGAGAGAAATAGCGAGAGATTGGGCCACTGGTGAGTGGATAGCTGCTTGCTGCTGCCTGGCACCCATTATGGCTGTTTTTGTTCGGTCAAACTCCCGTATTTGGCCGCATTTGCCCGCGTAGTTATTTGCGTAAATGAATCGAATGAAACCAGTATGTGTTCAACATGTTGTTGAACAGAGCCGTGAAAATTCCGCATAGGCGTATGACGCCAAAAAAAACGCGGCCATATGGGATCCCAGGTGGTCATCAAAGACCATCTTGGGCTTTTCCCTCCTATGGCCTGCCTTGTGGGCGGTATTGGACTGCAGCGGCTCGACCTCGACATCGAGCTCGGCGAAGATTCAAGCAGATGGTCAACCCAAGACAAACAGGTTCCCTTTTGCGCCACCAGGCCAATTGAGCAACTGGGGCGGTGGATTCCCGAGACGAGGTGGAGTCGACCTGGAAATGGCTCCATGTACCATGGGCATTGGGCAAACACGATAAGGTTCCAGATAGTTTTCTTTCCCCTGGTTTCACGGTTTCAGCACCTGTTGGGCGAATTCCTTCTCGCCATCTGTTTTCAAGGAATTAAAGGGACCCTTATCAATGTTTTCATTTGTTCAGTTCGAAGGTGTTTCATCCATGTTAGCTTTCTATGGCCACGGGCAAATAAATTGCGGGCCTTACAACTGTGGTGCACTTATTTTGTTGATGTCCAGCTTGCATGGCTTTCTGCCTTCATGCCTGCCTGCCTGCCTGCCTGCCTGCCTGCCTGCCTGCCTGCCTGCCTGCCTGCCGCCTGCCTGCCTGCCTGCCTGCCTGCCTGCCTGCCTGCCTGCCTGTTTTGCTTGTTTTGCTTGTTTTGCTTGTTTTGCTTGTTTTGCTTGTTTTTTGCTTGTTCGCGTGTTTCTTGGCAAATTGTAACGAGCTCACCACGATGAAGCTCTTTCACTAGATGGGGTTCCCTTATGTCCGGTTTGAGAACTATTAGCATGGTCATGTGTGTTCGATCTTGAACTTGGGCAAAGGCGTGTTGCCCTGTCTGTCTCCCTGTTTGTCTGTCTGTCCTGTCTTGTCCTGTCTTCTCCTGTCTTGTCTTGTCTTGTCTTGTGTGTCTGGCTGGCTGGCTGGCTGTGTGTCTGGTTGTTTGTTTGCTTGTTTGTTTGTGTTTGTTTGTTTGTTTGTTTGGTTGTTTGTTTGTTTGTTTGTTTGTTTGTTTGTTTGTTTGTTGTGTTTGTGTGTGTGTGTGTGTTGGGTGTGTGCGTGTTTGTGTGTTAATCTGTTTTGCTTGCTTGCTTGCTTGCTTGCTTGCTTGCTTGCTTGCTTGCTTGTTTGTTTGTTTGTTTGGTTGTTTGGTTGTTTGGTTGTTTGTGTGTTGGTGTGTTGGTGTGTTTGTTTGCTTGCTTGCTTGCTTGCTTGCTTGCTTGTTTGTTTGTTTGTTTGTTTCTTTGTTTCTTTGTTTGTTTGTTTGTTTGTTTGTTTGTTTGTTTGTTTGGTGTTTGTTTGTGTGTTTGTGTTGTTAGTTTCATCTTGTTTTGTCGTTTTTGAGCAGTTTGGACAGCCACACAACGGAGCAAGTGGATGTGGTTTGTTGAGCTGGTAGCGGAGCTTCACGAGGCTCATGCAGATCACTGGGTCAGAAGAGCCGGGGAAGGGCTCGTTGCATTGGCCCACGCTGCAGCCCAAGCTTCGTCCGTTTCAGGTGCGGGCCATGGACCAAATGACGGAGGAGCACGCTGGAGATGCATTGGTATGGACCTTTCAGCCTGGCAGCGCGATCGCTCTTGATCTGAGGCTTCTTTTATGATACAAGCCAGGCCACCCGTCGCCAAAATGCTACTGGCACTTGGGTTTACATGCGCAGACGAGGAATTGCCGAGGTTCAGCTTTGGCAGTTGCAGGTTGCTCCGTGTTGCAGTCCTAAGGAAGCTTGTTCGTGCTGTACAGCTCAATGACCGGCGAGCGGAGCAGGAGTGAGAGCGCGCCCCCCTCGAGAAGCTCTACCGTGCTGAACGGATCCACTACATTTTGGACTCCCTACGTACCAGCGCAGCAGAAACTTGATTCTCTGAAGTGGAGATTTCGCAATGACTTTGAATACATATCCCGCTTCCCAGGTGGGCACTTGAGAAGCTTCTGCAACAGATGCAGGAGACATGGGCGGAGCTTGGATTTTCATAAAATTCTCGGTCTTGGCCATGTACGGAACTGAGATATATGGCAATGACTGGGCGCTCGTCTTTTGGACCGCGTTCGGGCACGCATCAGTCGATGCAATTTTTGATTGCATCTGTGACGCCATGGCCCGCCAACGTCCCATATGCTGGCAGACCCGGTAGCCAAAACCGATCAGCGCATGACAGACCAACAAGAAAGTCCAGTGAATCCGGCCCGAGCCGCCAGGAATCCCCCTGAGTGTGCTGTTCGTCAGCCAGGCTGCCGTGGAAAATGCGCCGCCGCTCGCTTTCGCCTGAGCAGTTTGGACACCGCGCGCGCAGCAAAGCAAGCAAGTGGTTTGTTGACGAAGCTGATGCGCAGCGCTGTGTCAGATGATCTGGAGGAGGACTGTTTGTTTGGCAGGCTGGCTGGTTCGTGGCTTGCTTGCTTGTATGCATGTTGCGTGTTGTTTTCTTGTCTATGGCTTGCTGCTTGCTTGCTTGCTTGTTTGCTTGTTTGCTTGCTTGGTTGGTTGGTTGGTTGGTTGGTTTGTTGGTTTGATTCTTTGCTCGTCTGCTTTTGTTTTTGCGTTTGGCCGTCCAGTTGCCGCCACACGCGGGCACACCAGGGCATTTTCCCGCTGCATCATGTGATCTACGAGCTGGCCTGTGTGCTGGGCTCAGAAGCTTCTGTGGGTCGGCGGCCTGATGTTTTTGGATCATCATTTTACACCCACCTTTTTTGTGCACCTTTAATTTTCCCACCCAGGCGACGTTTGGGCAAGTAGCGGGTATTTTTTGGACCTCGTTAGGGTTTCCCCTGGCTTCGAGCAACTGTTGGCTTTTGCACGCTGCACGGTGGCCAAAAACATTTGCGGGTCCTGTGGGCGGGGCCCATGGCCTTTACCTACTGAAGGCCTTGACTGTCAAGGCTACTGACCAGGCATCAGATCACCCAAAGGCTGCTACAAAAAGGTCTTGCCTCCAAATAGTGAAGCCCTCCAAAACGGGTTGGTTTTCTTAGTTCCCTTCGCAAGAAAGCACCCAAGACTAAAGGCTTTTTCGCAAACTGAGCTCACACCACCGGCAATTCCTCCACCAGTGGCTCAACTAGCTATGGGCTCAGATGAGCCACAATTACAACCTGGCTCAGTGAGGGTTGGCAAGGACAGTCTCAACCCCAACTGGGGGTGACAAGCCGCCCTGTTTGATTACTCGGCATTTGTTTGAGAAGACAAATGCAAGGACAACACTGTCATATGCCTCTCGCGTCACGGATTCATGTTCTCACTCTTCCAGGTCCTCACTCCTTTCACAACACCACTGGGATGCTCAGCCTCAGTAGGTTAAAAACCAGCCACTTTTGGTTCCATTTACCATGGTATTCCAACAGTCATGGACCTCCACTAGGGGACCTCCCCAGTAGAATCAACCGGGGCTTTAATCCAGTGTTGAGGTTTTCAGTTCGGACTCGCGCTTCTCCCAGGAAGCCTGTGGCGGCCTTGTGGAGAGCCTTGACTTTGCCCAGTTCCAGCGGGTGGGCGCTCCCGGAGACGCCTCAGAGGGGTCGAGGGGGGGAGGGATGGAGTCGGAGCCCTTGGCAACATGCCGAAAGCGGCCAATGATGGCGACCTCAGCAAGGTTTAAACTCTGCCATGTTGCCCATGAGGTTTGCTTCGAAAACTAGTGCTTGGAGACCACCGGGCACAGTGGCCATGCATGAACACTCTCCCTTCCATGCAGCAATCACTGAGCTGCCTACTCAGTAGCTAACGATTTACATTTGGGAGAGGGTCGAATTCAAGCCAGATTTAACGGGTTGGGCGAACTTGTTGAACATTGGAGGCCACCTGGGGCCAGCTTTTGTAGATGCCAGGTCATTCATTAAAAAGGATAAGTTTCCACTGCAAATGAGCAGTAGGTAGGAACCAGGAACCTCAAGGGGTCCTGTCCCTGGAAACACCTCTAAGCATTTTGTGGTTCCCCGCCGAAGTTCTCCGCTTTCGGAGGGTTCCCTCCAAAAGCAACACCTGAGCAAGGCATTCTCGTTTTGTTGATGGGAAACTGCTTGGCAAGTAAAGGCCCCCACCCTGGAAAGTGGTTTAGACACTGGGTTTCTTTCTGCAGGCGCAAGCTGGGTCCGTAAATGTGACATCATCAAATTACCTCAAAGGGAAGCAACCCCAAGAGTACCTAATGTGAACGACCCCTCAAAATGCGCATTTTACAGACCAAGGATTCAGCCAGATTCAGCCAACCATTGTTGAAGGGTGGCTCCCTTGGTTACCTGTGCCGGCGTTGGGATCGACTGGGAAGGGCCCCGTTGCAGTTTGGTGACAATGCCGCTTTCAGGAGGCTCCAAACATTCAATCACTTTGAGGGGAGCCAAATAACCCATTGGCCGGGCTATGAAATTTAACAGGGAACCATCTCAAAAGTTGTTGGTGGGCATGAATCCCATCTAAGTGATATCCACTAAAAGGGTCCCGCGCTAAAAGCTCACATCCAGTTGGTTGGCCCAGTAGGTTGGCCCCCCAATGGTTCTACCCTTAAAGGCTTTAATACTGCCCCTTTAGCGGAATCATGCCAGATCTTAGAGATCCTGCGGGAAAGAGAAGGCTTCACCCGCGAGGACCGGCCTTCGATTCGCGAATCGGGGAAGGTGCAGGGCAAATGTGAGTTGAGCTCCGAATATCCCAATTGGCCAATTTTAGACTCGCAAATCTCTGAGTTTCTGGACTTCAGACTCTTTGGGAAGACTATTTGAGTGCCCGACAAAACGATCGAAAGACTGAAAGGGATACAGGATTTCCGGTACTTTCAAAAGGCGCATAGCCGATAGGGGACGCCCCAAAAATCCATACCCGCAAAGCATGATACCTTTCATGTGGGCTACTTACTAGCTTAGCAGGCCTTTTAGCCGTTTCCACCACGAAATTGGGACCACGAGAAGCGCTTGAAGACTATACCGACCTGAGCGCAGGGCACGACGCCCAAAGGAGACGTTTTATAGGAAGGCAGTGGCTTGGGCAACAACGGGTCCATTTCGGAAACGCGACATCCAACCAATACCCAACCGATGCCTTGGCCGATGACTTATCCCATGTGGCCGCTTGAGCAGGCTAAACACTCGATCCATGTAAGACACATGTCTTCGAGTGATCTCGTCAGAATGTCATATGGCATTTGCGCAAAAGTATGAGATACACTATATCGCAACCCAAGCTCTAGCTTGCGGATCACTCTCGGAGCCAAACACTGATAGTTTCAATGCGGGGTTGTTTCCAAATAGGGGAGTTCCCCCGTTTTTCCTTTCAAAGGGTGCCCTCTTCCCAACAAGTGTGGGACCCACCAGAGGGTTAGGGTCCCTTTTTGGAGGGAATCTGTCTTTTCCAGGCGCCAGATAGGTTCCTTGTTGGTTGAGAGGGTGCCTTCTAAAAAGGCTCATGCGACTTCCTGAGACCCATTGCAGGAGCGCGCAGTCTTCGAAGATGCCTTCGACAAGTGCGACAGCGATGGGAGCGGCCACGTGGCTAAAAGCAATGCGAGGGAGCTACTGCAGGCTTCTGTGGAAGTGCTGGGTCAACGTTTCAGGGTGCTACGTTCGATCATGTTATCTATGAGTGGATTTGAAGACGAAACAGGTTCTGAACCAAGGTTGGTGCTGTGGAGGCCCTTATGCCCCCAAACCTTGATCCCAAAAAGAGGGACTTGTGAAGGAGCGTCTAACAGAGAATACGTCTGGGTGCGTTAGCCTGCGGGAGTCGAAGTGCAACATTTGGCATGGCTGACATCTGGACATTTTGAGTCGGAGTAGCTGAGGTAGACATGCTGCATCTTTGCCTTCAAAACCCAGGGCTTCCATTGACCATGGAATTGAGGGACTACAGGGTCAAAGAGGCGAGTAGGCGTTGATCATGGACTGCAGCATGAAGGGGGTCGAAGGCACACTGTCAATCCGGATTCCAGCGCATTGGTTCCACATCTTCGGTTGGTTTGCATCTCTTGCAGCGATTGTTGGGCTGCAGCACCAAATTTGTCCTCTCCACGAACTACAGTTTTGGAGGCGACATGTAAAGCATGTTTAGCGTTGACAGGGCTGCAGGCTGTACCCAAACAATCCGGTTAAATACAGCTGAGAACAACTTGCTGAAGTATTGACAATGAAATCGTGCCAATTGACCGTATCTTGCGAATTGATCCTGTAACTTCGAGGACCGAACATTTGTGAACTGTTTTACTCTGCGAACTTGAGCATGACCGCAACTGTTCTCCTCACCCATTTGACGTAGGCAGACAAGCAAATGTTGCTTGGCCAGCGCTGTTGCCTTCTTGTTGCTCGTGATGCGCATGTTATGTCGTAGTCGAGTTCCATCAATGGTGCGTTGCTTGCACACTGGCGGGCTTGCAAACGCAAAACCGGCGACAATGGGTAGCAAGAGGCGAAGTTGTACAGAGGAGTTTCATGCATCACGCATTCGAAGGAAGGCTTTTTGGCAAGTTCAGTTCAGTGGCCAAAAAAGCGAAGACATTAGTTTGAACCGAGTCTGCGTTCTTTGAAGGACTCCGACAGCATGTCTCACGTTGCGGACTCTGAGGATCACTGGACGCCATGGAGATTGGCCGCGTGCTTGCGGTCGTGGGCTTCTCCCAGGAGTCCGGTGACCAGTTTTGGTGGGGTCCAGTGGGTTCAGTTCTAGCCTATGTTGCTTAAGTTGGCCTTTGTGTGTGTGTGTGTGTCATGAGACGTCCTTAGATATCTCTTTGTCTGGGTGGTCTACGTGGTGATGTTTAAAGTGGACATAATGCTGTCAAAAACAAAGTGAGAACACCAGACATAGTAATAGAATACTAGAAAGATAACTAACTCATCATAATTCTATTCAATGCCAAGAACAAAGTGGTAGTTTTTACATTTTATGATGCTGGATGATTAGATTGCTGCAAGCTCCTTACTCCCCTGAAGCAAGTTGACATGGAACCGCAGAAAGAGGTGATCCAAGAGGAGCTTCCTCTACAAACGTGTCCTGGTTCTTTGCGTGGGGGGGGGGGGCCATGTTGAGGCTCAGGAGGCCACATGTTCCAAGCACACCGTTGGTGAATTAGCAGGGTACCAAGGGCTCACGAAGCCAGCCGCCCTACAATGGAGAAAGCAAAATCCAAAGTTTATCCCCAGCCCTGGAACCTTCCCGGATGTCTGAAACGCTTCCACAAATCGCCTCTAGGGTCGCCCCAAAGCCAGCATCGGGCTTTTGAGCCCGTACAGTACCCTCTTTCCGTTCGGCGGGGCGCTTGTGCACCGCGAAAAGGTAGCTGTGGCATGCTGTTGCTCCTGCAAACCATTGCCCGGCCGCCGGCTTTGGAAGGAGATGAAGTTTGAGGAGTTGCTCGAGGAGGCGGAAGAACGCTAGCGGCATGCGACGGGTGTGTCGGTTTGTTCTCTTGGAACCCTTGCAGATGAGCTCACCCCGCGCAGGTTGACGTGGAGCAGAAGAATCAGTTGACGAAGCAGGACTTTCTGGCTTCTCGGCCTGGTAAGGGTGGCCCCTCCCCCCGAAGTTAACACAGCAGATTGCTCCAACAACTTGAGTTTTTCAGGTACGTTCATCCGCAGGTGCACTTGCCCCGAGAGGAACCCAGGATGACGAAGCCCTAGCCTAATTGAAGGGTTGTGCCTTCGAAGGAGCAGCTTTCATCCAACAGGTTGCATACGGTTCAACATGAGGGCAAGTGTTCATGCTTCAAATATGACCAAAGTCCTGGGTCAGTCGTGTTTTTGTGGGTGCCCCATGGTTTGGTCACTATTTACACAGTAGCCATTTGACCGCCTGGCCTTTAGCGCACTGAAGGTCTTCATGCGGAAGATCCGGGAAAGGGACACGCAGTACATCAGGGACTACTTCAGGCGGGTTGTGGGGGTGGCAAGGGGTGAACGAGACGCGTGGGTGCATGTTTTTGCTCAGGATTCCCGGTACCCCTTGCACCTGGGTGCAAGGGGAAACCCAAAAAAGCACCATCAGCTTTGGGGCACGCGTGGTTGCTATCATCCAACATATAGTGTTCCGTGTCCTTTCCTGATAGTTATGAATACGTCCTTATCCTTTGCGTTTCCTTTACTTGTCCTTGCTTGTCCTTCACTGGCTGGATTGGATGAACAAAGGGTAATACAACAGTTTGGTGCTTGTTCCGTGTGTGCTTTGACAGTTTTCGATTGTGCCTGTGAGTTGTTTGTCGCCTGCTTGATCTTCGGGAGAGGGGGAGGAGCATCGGACGAATGATACATTGCTTTGCTGCTGCTGCTGCTGCTGCTGCTGCTGCTGCTGCTGCTGCTGCTGCTGCTGCTGCAGCCCTAGAATAAGTACCAAACATGGGATCCCTCAGAAGGATGTCATTTTAGAACTGTGTTGTCCTCTCTTCATTTGCAAGAGGGTAGCCTTTTCAATGGCAACGTCGGTGTTCCACCACGTCCGGATCTTCTGGGAAGGTCAAAAAGGTGGAAAACCAAACTGTTTGGTTTTGTCAGTTTCACGTATCCAAAGCCACACATCTTCGGGTTCCTTCGTCGCCATTCCACGTCACTGTGCGATTTTGTGCACCCTGCATCAGTCTGCCAATTTAATGTGAGCTCACTCGGGGGGAAAAAGCGCTCACCGTGAATTGGATCCTTTAATGACAGGACTGGAATAAACTGCAAAAGTTGCAAATCGTTGAGTACACCAGGGGAGTTTCTGCTGCTCCGGCGTTAACATGTAACCTTGAGCTTGTCTTACAGGGCAAATCCGGAAAAGCTTATGGTTTCCTGTTGGTCTCTGCCAGGGCCGCTCCAAAGGACCCACCGCCCAAGTCGCAGGGAGTGCGACACCGACGGGGAGCCGGGCCTCGACGCCAAGGAGATCGCCACACTCATCGAGTCCCTGGGCCACGTGCCGGACATGGCATGCAGCTTGGCCATCGGATGCGAATTCGAATTGACGACCGCGAAAGCCAAGGGACACTTCCATTTAAGCTTAATTTAATGTTCTTTTCTTTCTTTTTTTCTTCCGGGATCGCGCATGATCGCGTTCTCTAAATTGCTCTTCGGGGCTTGGGAACAATGAGAGAACCATTGGTTCGGGTCATTTTGGTGGCGCTCTGGCGCAGCTGGATGGACGCACCGCGAAGGAACATCGCGCCGGAAAGGCAGACATGGAAAAGTATTTGGACAACGGAGGTCCCCTGTCATTCACTTTTTTAGACAGTGAGTGGTCACTTGATGGACGGCTGGTGGACGGGTTTCTGATGGCTTGGTGGGCAGGGCGGGGAAGGCAGGGCAAAGGGCCGTTCTGAATCATGTTTACTTCCTAGAGCAGTATTGGATTCTTGGATGTGTCTTGGTGAGAAAACTGGGCGACATGAGGAATTCCGGTTTCAACAAATGGTTGTGCGAGGGGCCAGCGAAGTGCACATCCAACCTGAATAACTAAGGCATACTATGGCTGTCCAAGTCTTGGCCAGGGGCTTGCTTTTGGTTCTGGTTGATTTGTTTGAGGAAAATCAGTTAGTGCAGTGGCACCAGTGTTTGGTGACTTCGCCATATAAAGAATGTTTAACTGCTTAAACCCAAAGCGGCATCCCTTTGTCTTCTAATCCAGGGCAACAAAAACTTCCCCATTCCACAAATCTTTCGTTTCAACCAGAAACTTGGGGGAAGCGCCAGGTTTCGGAGTGGATGGTTGATGGTGAATCAACCCCCGCAACCAGGGTCGATGGGCAACTAGCTGGAGAAGCTCACTGTTCGTAAGACCATTTTTTTTGCACACAAAAGTTCAGACTGTTTCTGGCCAATGCACTCAGGAAGTGATGGAATACGCGGTTGCCTCGAGATTCAGCTCCAAGCAAACTCCCGCTCGCACAGGTGTCACCGAGACGCTGCAGCAGCTGAACATTGAAAATCCTGAGGAGGAGCGGGACTGGCGACCAGAAAGGGGAAATCACAAAGTTGGGACAAGTTGTTTGTCACAAACTATGGGAACAAATGTGTTTTGTTGGTAACCCTTTGAACCCAGTTTATGCTTGTGTTCGCTACATGTGTTTGTTCAGAGGGGTCTCTTGATGTCCCCTTCCAAAATCATCCGCCCCAATTGAAACTTGCCTCCAACAGGTAAACCTTAAAACCACCCTTTATGGGTGTGCTAGTGCGGGGTGGGTGGTGGGTGGTGGGTGGCGGGTGGTGGGTGGTGGGTGGTGGGTGGTGGGTGGTGATGGGTGGGTGGCGGTGGCTGGACAACACACACCACCCACACCCACCCACACCTATCAACACACTCACCCACCCACCCGCACCCACATCCACACACCCACTGCCACACCCACACACCCACACCCACCCACCCACACCCACCCACACCCACCAACAACCACACCCACCCACCCACACACACCCACACCCACACCCACACCCCCGCCCCCACACCACACCCACACCCGCCCCCACACTCACTGCCACACCCCCACCCCCGCCCCCACCCCCCCACCCTCACCCCCGCCCCCACCCACCACCCACCCGGATGCACTAGCCAGGTTTGGTTGCATTTGGCCATGGGGTTGGAGATAGTATGCAGTATGCAGGTTGCAGGGTGCAGGGTGCAGGTGGTCGGAAGTCATTTGGCTTCTTTTAAACCTCCGACAAATTCGTTTCCGCAAGCAAGAAACCACACCCACAAGTGTCCGTCGGGATGTCCACATGTACCAATGCACCTCCTTTGTGTTTTTCTATGGCCACCAAACGGACTCCTTCCCACTCCTTCCCCGAATTGTAGCAGCCGCATGGTTGTGGCAAATTGGGTTTTAGGGCAATTTTCAGTCCAGCTTTGGCAGCATGTATCACAGAGTCAGGACTTGGACTTCTCCCAGGTCTGGCGCTTTTTGGAAGTCTTTCGGCGCCAGCAAGGCCCGGAGAGCGGAGAACTCGCCCCCGACCTTCGGGTTCCCTTCAATGACCCTTCCATTAAACCTAAGGGCAAACAACCTTCTGCTCCTGGGCGCCGCTCGGAGCAACGCAGTTTCGTCAGTTCGGATTTCCGTTAGGCCTCACCTTGGAGGCAGCAGCGGAGGCCAGAGCAACCTTCCGAACGCCGCTCGGCCAGGTTTGGTGTAACCATGAACGGGTCCGGCAAGTTACCGCGAAATGGGGCCCGGTTTCCTTGAGGCATCCCTTTAAAAAGCCATTTTTGCGAAGGGGACCATCAAGAGATGAGCAGGTGGTTCTTGAATCCTCACCATTTGTGCGGACCTTTTTCGACCACTGGGATGGGAGTTGCCCGAACCACACATCAACCAGGGGTTCGGATTGCGACTGAGATGGTTTTGCAATGTTCAGCCCCTCAGGAGATGGCTGAGTTGTGAAGCCACTAAAATTCCAATAACCTTTGGGGGTCACCTTTTTGAGGGGAGAATCAAGTGCAAACCCGGGACACAAATCCAAAAAACACTGCCAACAGTTCCAGGGCTTCCCATTGCAGGTTTTTGTCCTGCATTTTGTGGCGGGCTTTCGGAAACTACGTTTGCAATTTCTAGAAGACCCTTTCAATCCAAGTTGGGAAGGGGGTCTCAGCCACCGGCTGTCATTAGCTTACATTCCTTGCAAAATTGGCCCTGGCTCACATAAGGGGCGCCAGAATGGCATTGAGTGTACATGGGGGAAACCTGTTGCCTTCTCTTTAAAAGAACCTCAAAAGGGTACATTAGAAACAAAACAAAGAGATGCCCGAAAGGGATCCCACTTGCCACAGCCCATAGCCCGCCCAGGTTCGCAGGCGGAGCTGTTTCTGTGAGCGTGGACAAGCTCTTTCAGATGATCCGGTCGATGGGCTTCGATCTCCACTACCACGAGATTCGGACGCTCGGGGGTGTCGGAACGGGAAGAGAAGGAACGAGTTTTTTCAGGGGGTTGGACCAGCTTCCAGGGGTAAAGGAACCCTTTTTGAGTGGATTAGACTTAGTTGGTGGTTGGGAGCCATATTTCCATGCTTGGCATTAGGTTTTGTTTTGGTCCACACGCATATGGGTTGCGGGGTATTTGATATCCAGCAGAAGTGATTGTAGGGGGGAACTCTGTGTGTAGTTATATTATGGCCGCTTGTATTATGTGGCTGCACCTTGTACATTGGCCCGTCGCCGTGCAGTGCAGGAAGCTCATGTACCTCTTGGAGGTGAACACCTCTGGATCGATGAATGATGCTTGGCCTCGAAATCGGAGGTTCCGCCACCACAAATGGGGTTGTGGGGTACTTGAAGGCAAGCAATGACGCGTGGGAAGTAAACAGTAGTGATTATTTAGCTAGCCCCGTACACTACTGCCAAAATAACCCATGCTTCTTCACCCAAACGAGCCACAACGGGATGACTTTTCCTCACTTTCTTGCAGGCCTATTCAACTAGCTGCTAGGATGCTGCTAGGCAATCCGTCGGCCCCACGGTTGGGCTGTGTGGTAGAAACTCAATTGAGCATGGCAGGTAGCTGGCCACTCCTACAAGCAGGGAGGCAAAGGGTTGGTCTTCCAGGAACTTGTTTTCTTCAATTCTGCGAGATTGAATGGCGGCTAGTGGTCCTTTTCCTTTCCAATTGGATATGCAGTATGATGCCCTGTGTACGATGGATGCGTACCAAAGTTTGCCCTGAGGTAGAAGTCGCAGCAGAAGCGAAGTTAGACAAGTGCACGTTTGAACTTCCATGAACCACAACCTCACGTCCAGGTCTTTCAACACAATCGCACAACTTTAATCCCAGTTGGGAGCCAACATGAAACCATCACAAGGGCTTATTCTGAGGAAACCCACGGAGCCACCCGCGAGCGAAGGAGCAGGAATTCATTCGCGTGGTGGGCCACCTAAAGGATACCGAGCTTCGGCAAATGTGGAAGGCTGGACTCCGGTACGTCTGCTTATTTTTATGTCGAGTTCACCGATTCACGTGCACGACGAGATCACCTTGGGGTAGGTCCTTTACTTGGGGATCCCTTATTCCAGGTTTAGGAGCCATATCAGCCTCCGCCTTGGAAAAGTCTGGCACTCCCACACATATCAGCCTTTGCGACCATGCCTTTTAGAACTTCTTGACGTGATGGGAATCCCATTGTGGTAAACAGCATAGAAGGGGTTTCCTCACACCACGTTCTGTGCTGTTCCAAATTGGCTGGAGCCGATTGCGCACAGGCGGTTGACTCTCGTTTGCCCAGAAGACTACGTATTAAACTACGTATTCTCTTGGCTTGCGCAAGAAATGCATTTGGTCCTCTTTGGAGGGTCTTCCACTAGGGTATATGGATTAGGAGTTGCTATTTTTTGGAGGGCTCAGTGGTGGACACTTGTTGGCGGGGCGTGGCTTGGACCTCACTTCACACTTGTTTCAGCCATCCCGTAACGAAGCCAAAGCGCACCTTTTCTTTTTGGCAACAGTGCAGCAAGCACAAGGGTTTAAGATGAGATGGACTCAATGCCCAAAGCGAATCGACCTGGTCACTGCAGTTTCTCCTTTTTGGTCCATGTTGAGTCATGGATCTTTGGGTCCTGGCGCATTGAGCAGACAGGTCATGCTTCATGTCTTGTCTATATACATATAGTTTAAATATATGGTGTTTTGCAACGTGGAACCCGCATAAATCGTAACGTGCACCGACATGGACCTCACCCCTGGAGCACCCTGTCACATGTTTGCCTCTGGGTGGGCCGCTTGCCACCCTCTGAACCAGTGGTAGGGTGGCTTTGGGCCTTTAAAGGCGACCAACTCGCATCGATGTTTCCCATGACCCATGAGGCAATCTTTTCTACCCTTCCGACTGGGTCAAAGGGGAGCAAAGCTGACCTGCCAACCCCAGAAGGGCAGGATTCCCTCTTAAATGGGTTTGTTTCGGGGGTACCGAAACCAGCTTGGTTTAAAGGCAATCGTTAAGGGAAGCAACATGCATTTGTGCATTCCAAATCTCTGCTCTACTCGAATGGGTCCTTCCCTCAGAAACCAATCTGAAGAACTGTTTTCCATCTTAAGACTCCGTTTGCTCACACACTTTTGGGATTCAAATCAACCAGAGTTTCGGTTGCTGTTGGTGAATCAAAATCAACCAGAGTTTCGGTTGCTGTTGGTGACAAGGGCACCTACAGTGCCCTTTGTCAACAACGGCCCTTTCAACCACGGTTACACTGCCATGCCTAAAGGGATCCTTGTCACAAACTGAGAGTAACGAGGCCCAGTGGTTTTCGCAGGTGGTGAACGAGGAGCCGCGTTGCGAACCCGCAAAGCAGCTGAAGCAGCGGACGCTCGGCAGAATTGGAGTGGTGTGTTTGGCAGTGAGGTGGGCTTGAAAACGCCCATATGGCTGTTGTGTTTCCTGAAAATAGCAGCAAAAGGGATCAACACTTGACGTCTCCTTGTTTTCATTGTTGAGAATGTCCCAAAAGGATGGGATATTGTACTTGTTTTTGCAGGCCATCTATTTCGAAGCCAGTGAGCCACAAGTCCCCACCATAAAATGGGGAGGGCGAAAGCCGCCCTTTCTCCGCATCTTTTTGCAGGCACCTTTTGCTGGGCTGTTCGGACACGATCCTTAATCCTTTCTACGGACGGGGCCCTCTTTTAGTGGTTGTCCAATATGGGGTATGGATAATGGATTGGCCAACGCTGGGGCTGGGTTTTGAGTATGACTTAGGTGTCTAAAGAGTTACCAGGGCAAGTGCGAGGAGCAAGCGCGAGGTTTGCCTTTTGACCTGTTGGGGAAATCCGGAAAAGGGAAAAAGGCTCACCGCAGTGGGGCATGCCAAAGTGCACTCTAATTTGTTTGCACCAGCTGCCCCCCGCATGTTGAACATACTGTATCAAGAAGCCCCAGGCTTTTGGATATCTCCAAGGCAGCGGGTCAAGCTGTTTCAACATCATGTAACATAGTGGTTTTTGCCATTTTGGCTCAAGTGGACCTTTTGATCTTTTGTCTTGTGATTTGAAATCTTTCTTTCCCCTACTCTCAAAGCCATGTACGCCCCCGCCTACGCTGGTGCCGCGGTAGCAGAGGCCAAGGCTAAGGCAAAGGCCTCCATGGCAAAGTACCTGGCGAGCCTCGTGAAGAGGGAGGAAGAAGGATGGACCGTTTTGGCTGCTGAGGTCCCTCAGGCACCTGACGAGCGTTTCTTCTCCAGCGCAGATGAGCTGGAGCAGGCCCCCCTTATCCCGGCCAAGCGCAAGGCAGAGGATGAGCCGATGGAAGATGCAGCCCCTGGGGTGGCGCAGGTGCCGAAGGCCCTGACACGCCCCCCAGGGGCGTTCCTGGAGCTCCTGAACCCGCCGGAGGAGGACGTGCCCATGGAGGAGCTCCTGGCGAAGGACGAGAAGGAGCTGCCGATGCCCAGGTCCCCCTCGGCTGCAGCCCGCTTGGAGGAGGCCCGCCTGGATGCCCGGGCAGACGCCAAGTGGCAGAGGCGCCGGGAGCTGATGGCGAAGGTCAAGGAGCAGGCGTCCTCGGAGGAGGATGAGAACCCCGCAGCCCCCCCGCCGGGGGGGAGCGTGTTCACCAAGGCCCTCAAGGTCTCGGAGGGCCTCTACCAGTTCAGCGACGACCAGATGGCGGGCGACTTCCCTTGCTTCGATGCGACCACGGCCACTAGGCTCCGCCGACTGCAGGCCAAGGACGTCCAGCGGCTCCTGCGAGGCTTTGAGGGCCCCCAACTCAAGCGGGGGGGCCTGGAGCGCGTTGTGGAGGCCTTCTACATCGCCAAGATGAAGTACGAGCATGAGGCCCGGCTCAGCACCCCGGGACAGCAGGTTGGCAAGCGCGCTGGCTTGGGGTACGGGGGCCTGGAGAACCGCCCCCTGGGCAAGGTGCCCACATCCTGGATCTGCCCCTGCTGCACCATGCCCTGGGTGAAGAAGGGCGCCACGAAGTGCATGGGGTGCGGCAAGAAGACGGAGCCCATTGACACGGCGACCAACTCGGCCACCCTGGAGATGGCGGGCACGCATTGGCAGTTGACGGTGGATGACCAGGGCAATGCGGTCTGGACGGCGGCCCGGTCCGCGGGTGCCGAAGGCCCTGACACGGACCGGGCCCGCGACCTCAAGCTCAGTGCCTCGGTGGACGTCAGCGAGCTGGCCACCGACCCGATGGCCTGCGAGAACCCGGACCAGGCCAGCTTCTCGGACTTCGTCCCCTCCTCGGTCCGGGCGGTGATCAGGAACTGCCCCATGGAGCTGGACGAGGAGTTTCTGACGGCCCCACCGGGGGAGAGGCCCCCATTGCCAGGCGACAAGGAAGAGGGCCAGGAATGCAGAGCCTTCCACCCGTCTGCGGTGAAGGCCTTCAAGATTCAGACCCGGCTCAACGCCACCACCATCGCCCAGGAGGAGGCCAAGAAGGCGGACCAGGTGGAAGCGGTGGAGCGCTCCGCGGCGGTCCTCCACGAACTTCAAGGGGGGGCCATTGACGGAGGAGGTGATGGAGGCCTGCTCCTGAAGAACCTGGACTTGGACCTCTTCCGTGAGAAGCTGCTGGACAAGCTGGGTGCGGACTGGGGGAGACCCACACCGGAGCTCCTCCAGGCCCAGACCACTGCGGAGGAGGCGAAAGCGAAACACCAAGCCAGACAGGCGAAGGGCTCCCTCGAAACCAGAATGCTCGAGCCCATCGCGCCTCCCTTCAGTGCGTGGCCTAGTGAGGTCCGGGTCGCCATTGAGACTGGGGTCTTCGAGCCGACAACGGCATGGAGGGACTTCAGTATGGACGACCTCACATCCCTCACGGACTCCTACCTTGAGGCCAAGGCGGTCATCTCGCTGGGTAGGAATCCCTTCCCGGCGGCCCTCCTGTCAGATCTGCCGGACCTGACAGGGATCCCCATGCCAAAGGCGGGGGGCTCTGGTGCGGCGCGCCCAGGTGCCGAGGGCCCTGACAGGCCGCCCACCATCCCCCCAGCCTCGGGCTCTGGCGTGACGAGCTCAGGTGGGTGGACTCCCCTGGGCCAGGTACTCCGTTGATGAGTTGCACCAGCAGGCGAAGGCGGGGGACCGACCCTACCCTGGGGACCTGCGATCCATCTTTTGGGCTGCCCCCCACGATCCGGATGAGGACTTCCACTGGACGCGCCAGATCTCGTCCTGGACACTCCCAGGCCTACTGGGGATGTTCGGGCACAGCTACACCCTGCGCCAGCTCTGGGGAGTCTGGGAGTCTCTGCCACTGCTGCAGGGCCCTAGGCAGCGGGGCCCCCGCCTGGAGGGCTGGGAGACCCTGAAGGAGGACGCCCTCCGAACAGAAGCCCAGCACCTGCGGCGAGATCGAGGAGGCCCTTGCGGTCCGGCTGCAGGTGGAGTCGAGCAAGGCTCGGGAGCTCCTGAGGTCCGCGCTCGAACCGCAGAGGGGCTACGCCCTTGTCGCACGCGGAGGGCGCCGCAGGACGCGGTGCTTCCTGAAGGAGGAGGGCCTTCCGTTTCCGCAGACAGGACCGGAGTGGCGATTGGTCTACCGGGCCATGGGCAAGGTCGGCCCGGGCCTTCCTCACGGACACCCCGGCGGAGGTGATGCAGCTCCCGGTCCAGGACGTGGCGGACTCCAAGGAGCAGATGATCCTGCGGGCGGTATGCGACGAGCGCATCTCGGTCCCGGTGGAGAGCCTCCAGCAGTTCCCAGAGGTGTACAAGGCCCTCATGGACCGCATTGGAGGCCCGGGGGCCCTGGCGGAGGTGAAGGTCAACTGGCGCTGCAACACGAAGCAGTGGTGGGTCGGCGCAGTCCCCGACTCAGTGGCCCCCTCCATCTACCGCAAGCTCGGCTACACCAACGACATGATCAAGCTGATGGGCCTGGACCCCTCCGCCCCTGGGTGCCGGACAGGTGCCGATGGCCCTGACATCCGGGGGAGGCGAGGGCGATGAGGGGATCGTTTACCCCCCCATCACGGCGGACAACGTCCACGGCGTGGTGGGTAAGGACTACCGGAAGAAGAACTATCCGGTGGAGATGAAGCATGTCTTCTGGGCGCACATGGAGTGTGGCCTGGTCCTGAGCTCCGTCACCCCGTGGGAACTCATCCCGAAGACAAAAGGGGAGACCCGGGGGGGCTACATGTGCAAGTATTGTAAGGGGTACTGGCGTGCCGGGGGAGGGGGCACCCGCCTCCTCCAGATCCGGGCCGGCAAGGCCATCTTGCAGCTGGTGTTGGACGAGCCGCCGGAGGGCCTCTACAACCGCTGGGTGAAGGAGCGGCTGGAGTACTACCGCCGGGTGGAGCCCTCGGCCCCGTTGCGGGACGTCTCCATCGTGGACCAGAAGGTGCCCAGGTTCAGATTCAGCCAGACCACCCAGACAGGCCACGTCTCCAATGCCATCTGGGAGCTGATTCTGCGGAATCCGGAGGCTGCTGCGCTCAAGCGCATCGATGACATCGCGAAGGGGGCCGCGTGATGATGCGGGACAACGCCATCTTCCGGCACACCATCCAGGACCGCGGCCATCCGGAACGGATGCGCAGCGCACCCCGGGGGGGGGACAGCTGCCGAAGGCGCTGATATCCCCCCCCAGGGAACAGCGCAGGCCCAGACTTGCACCAGGCGAGGAAAATTGGCGCGGCTTGGGCTGATCCGGGGTGCGCCTTGGTTCCCCTCTCTTGTTTGGTTTTCCCTTTTCGGGGCGGCTCCCTGGGTCCCCCTTTTTCCCCCGTTTCCTCCGTTTCGGGGTTGACTTTCCGGGGTTTTGGGGGGCCCCCTGTTGTTTGGTTGGGGTTTGCACCTAGGGACTAGGCCCCCGGCTCGAGTGGATCATGATGATGTGGAGGCCCCGCCTCCCTTCCCCGTTTGGGACGACCTTCCTAGGGGCGCCAACCGCGCTCCAGTTGATTTTGCATGACCTTGGATTTGCACCAGTGCAGTCGGACGGGGAAATCCTCGTGGCGTGCTGCCTGGAATGGGTCAAAAAGGACAAGGTCGCCAACCCGGATGCGGTGGTCTTTGACCCGCGGCCGTGGACACGGATCGTGGGGCTGGCACCTGACGGCAACCACGTCCTGGTGGCCTCGGACACCTACAACTTGATCCTCGCGAGGATACTCGGCTCCCAACCACAACCGCTGGAGGAGGCGGATTTGGAGCTCGCTACTAAGACCCTGCAACAACTTCTGTTTCGTGCGGCAGGCGCCAGGCAATCGCACACCTATTCTCCACTGGAAATGGAACAGGCCATCCGGGACCGCGAAGAGTGGATCCTTTCCGGATCGATTGAGGCCCCGGATGTCCTGGCAGTGGCCAACAAGTGGCGGCATTGGAAACCAGGGAAGA